AATCAAAATTATAATTTTCTTTTCCTTCTTTAATGAAAAGGACAAAAAGCTTATCATCAAATGAAAATGCACTCTCTACAGTCATGCAAACAGAATCAAAAAAAAAAAAAAAAAAAAAAAAAAAAAAAAAAAAAAAAAAATCTAGAAATACTTTTTACAGGGAATTAGAAATGGACCTATCTGCAGCTTAGTTGCACTTCCTTGCAATCCCAGAATTGCACACCTACCCATCCCTAAACCAAAAAAACTTTAGATGTGGAGTTAGTATTCTTTTACAGCACTTACGTGTGGACCTATTCAAAAGATTAGTTTCACTTCTTTTGGATTCTGCAGTACACAGGAACTCTTCTGCCTCGGTAGCGATCCATGAACTTGATGATGAGATTATAATGCTGAACATTCTTGCTACATTATCTGGCAGGTATTTTGGACAATCTGAAAGCTGAAGCTAGTTCACTTAATGTGCTTGGCTTAGTTCCTCTTTATGGAAGATTCTGTCTGTAACACAATCTCACAATCCCCTGCACCATTTTTTGTTGGTTTGGCCCAAATTTTACTGGCATTTTTGTGTAGAACTAGAGTGCTTGGTTTTGACCTTAAAAACAAATGATGTTTTTTCACAATTACTGGTAATGAGTGAAAAGTTTCAGGAATTTGTTCCATTCATGAAAAAGGTTCAGGAATTGTTCCATTCATGATCTTTTCTTGTTCATTAATTTTTTTCAAAATATAATTTTTATACACAACAGATTACTATATATATAATTGCAAAATTTCCCACTTACTTTTGAATTGACTTATTACTATTTAAATATTATTTTAAATATGGAAGTGACTGTCAATTTGTTCAGCACATAAATTTCTTGGTCTTTTTAAATTGAATTTTATTAAAGATATTTTTACACAAAAATAGAAAAAGAAAGAAAATATTTTTGCCAAAGAAAAGAAACAAAATTGTTGACTAATAATCATAAAATATTTAATTAAATTAATGAGAATAACAATTAATATGTAATAACTAATAATCGTAAAATATTTTACTAAATTAATGAGAATAACAATTAACTAACACGGAATTCCTTTCAATCTCAAAATTGTATTAAAAAAAAATCTAAAGAGAAGCATTGAAGGGGGAAAAGAAAGTTATTATCATGAATTAGAGTTTTTTTTTTTCATTGAATAAAATTAATTGAAAGAGAAGAAATTAGAAGAAATAGACTTAATAGGAAATCAAAAAATTAAACCAAAAATCAAAATCCAACAAAATCAACAAAAAATTAAACCAAAAATCAAAATCCAAATTGTTTTTTTTTTCCTATTTTAATTAGGAATTATTAGAAATGATATTATTGGATAAATTTTTCTTTCATATTTTAATTAAAAATTATAATCCTAATTAGGAATTATGAGGATTATTAATAATATTAATACATACATGTATATGTGGGTGTGGGTGTGGGTGTGGGTGTGGGTGTGTGTGTGTACGGTTCGACACGCCTCAAAAACAATAAGGTTCGAATATATAAATGAAAAACCCTCGATATTTCTCTCTCCCTAAATCTCTAGATCCCAAAAACAATAAGGTTCAGGTGTGCTTAAAGAGGCTGTGGTTTTTGGTTGAAGGGTTTAAGGTGCGCTGAAATTAGGATTTAGGACATCAGTAATTGTTAGAAATTCAGCCTTTTCATTATCTAATCCCACTTAATTCTCAGTGAGGCGTTCTCTTTGGTGGATATTCTATAGCTGCCTAAAGCTGTGTTTGGTGATACTTTTATTGATAGTGATACTAAGCTGTGTTTGGTGATACTTTTATTGATAGTATGATTACCAGTGCAAAACGATTGTGCTTTATTGATAATATGATTACTACTTGTGCAAAAGGATTGTCCTTTTCGGAACCTAGAGGTGTTTTTTTCGCGGATAGAGGTCGGATCAGTTGCTTTAAGGCACGAGTGAGATGGGGAGTTGCCAAATAGTCCTTTGGTTGGCAGTTACTCTTGGTTTGGTTCAATTACAAGGAGCAGTAATTTGAATAGTTTTGTTCCAGGGCCATCGTTGAAGAACTTCCACAACTTGTCTTCTGTTAAATTCTCTGCTGGAGCTGCTCATAATGTGTCGTTTGATGGGAATTCTCGTGAGGAACAGCTGGCAAGCTCAACTGTGGAGTCTGGCCAAACCCTGAATTTGCTCTGTACTGATGAGGAAAAAACAGGTGGGGAAGATGCTCACTCTGTTCAATCCTCTGCTGGAGCTGCTCGTGATGTATTGTTTGATGGGAATTCTCGGGAGGAACAGCTGGCAAACTCCACTTTGGTATCTGGCCAAACCCTGAAGCTGCTCTCAGGATCATGCTACTTGCCACATCCTGATAAGGAAGAAACAGGTGGGGAAGATGCTCACTTTATATGTGCCAATGAGCAAGTCATTGGTGTAGCAGATGGAGGATGGAGTAGGAGGGTGGGCGGATGTGGGAATTAATGCCGGATTATATGCTCGGGAGCTTATGTTGAATTCTGTAAGTGCAATTCAGGAAGAGCCTGTGGGTTCAATTGATCCTGCTAGGGTGCTAGAGAAGGCACATTCCAATACAAAAGCAAAGGGTTCATCAACGGCCTGCATAGTTGCGCTTATAAATGAGGAAATACGTGCCATTAATCTAGGAGACAGTGGATTCATGGTGGTTAGAGATGGAAAAGGGTTCATCAACGGCCTGCATAGTTGCGCTTATAAATGAGGAAATACGTGCCATTAATCTAGGAGACAGTGGATTCATGGTGGTTAGAGATGGATGCACAGTGTTCCAATCCCCAGCACAGCAGCATTGCTTTAATTTTCCATACCAACTAGAGAGTGGCAATGAGGGTGATCTACCAAGCTCTGGCCAGGTATTCATATTTCCTATTTCTCCGGGTGACGTAATTATTGCCGGAACAGATGGATTATTCGACAACTTGTATAACTAGGTTACCACTGCTGTTGTTGATGCCCTAAGAGCTGGCTTAGGGCCTCAAGTAACAGCTCAGAAAATTGCAGCTATGACAAGTCAACGAGCACTGGATGAGAACCGACAGACACCTTTTTCTACTGCTGCTTAACGTGCTGGGTTCAGCTACTATGGTGGTAAACTTGATGACATCACTGTTGTAGTGTCGTATGTAACAAGCTCTAACAATTTGTGATCTTGTCTTCTCCAATGTGGCTGAACCACCAATTGTTGGTATGTTGATGCACTTCTTTGTAGTGGGTGTTGAGGTATTAATTTTAACTTTTGTTAATTTTAATTCGTATCAGTGTTAGTTGAGGTATTGTTGTTTTTATCAACAGTTTTGTAATAATATTGGTACGTTAACTTTAGTGTTCTAATTCCTTGTGTTAATTATTTTGGCTACTCTGTTGGTGAGTATTAACTTTTGAGGATTCCTTGATACACTTGCATTTCGGAACTTGATGAGTTTAGTATGGTGACTGTGTTATTTTTGAGTGAACAAAATATTTTTCTACCATCAGAATGCTCATGGGAGGTCTTAGAGTTAATAAATTTATTGTGAATTTAACATTCCTTTAGAGTTTAGAACTGCAAGAATTAAATAGCTCTAACCAACATGGTTCTTCAATTGATGATGGTAACATAAATATGATGTAACATAAATATGAATGTAATTTGTTATTTTGCTGTCAGAGTTTGTAAGTATGCAATGGTGTTCTTTCCAACAAATGAATGAATGTCTTAACCCATTTCCTGGTAGAAAAAAAATTGGATCTTTTTGGCTAAATGAATTTGTGTTGATCTAACGCTAATGAAACAGTACAAAGTCCTTATGTCCATACAATTTCTTGCTTGAACCTAAAGTTAAGAATTTCTTTGCATCTCTGATAGGGACCCTGAAACACTTGTTTACAGGGTTATTCCTCTGTCTCTGCTTTCTGAACATCTTTCCTTGGGGAAAAAAAAAAAAAATCTTTCCTCAAACTTCCAGTTTGAGAATTTTGGCCAATTAATGGCTCTTAAGATTCACTTAAAAAATCTTTCTCAATCTGCATTTTGCTTTTGTGAATTTAAAAATCTTGTTATTGGTTTGTTAGTTTAAATTGATTGCCGTGATCAGAAAAACTAAAAGTTGGGTTTTGGTGAAAGAAGTTGGGTTTTGTGAAGTAGTAATTGAAATCCATCTTAAAATTTTAAATTGTGAATTAACCTCTACAGTTTACATAGGGTTGCCAAAATTAAAGAAATATAGTGAAACTTTTTTGAAGTGTTAAGATGTTTCCAAGGGTTTTAGTGTCTGGAATGTGTCCAACATGCTAAAAAAGTCTTCATGATTCATATGTTAGAAGAGTGTTCCTCTGTGATCTAGTCTCAAGATGTTTCCTTATACATTTGATTATCAGGTTCTTATGGCGGCTGATTGCAGTGGTCCAGACTCCAGAGATGTTATTTGTTTATTGTTGCCACAGTTGTTGATGGAGCCAAAAAAGGGCGAATTCAATATCTCATGATGTGGTTTGCTTTGTAGCGCACAGTTGAGTTCTAAGTAGTTGTATCCTATCATTTTTGTTTTTGGCTTCTATTTCCTATACTCAAAGGCTTGTATCTTGGAAATAAGAAAAATAAATGGAGAATGGACTAGTCGTCCAATAAGAAGTATGACAATAGTATGACAATGGGCCAATATGTTTCCCTTGATGAACCTTTTCCTTTAGCTTCGTCGCAGCTTCCTTGAAGGAGACTTCCCAATAGACTTGCTTTTTTTGTGTTACCCCACATAATTCTTAGACTTTAGCTATGGGGGACTGACTTAAAAGGAAGACTTATGGTGCATTGACTTAAAAGGAAGACTTGTGGTGTGCAATGTTTATTGGAAGTCGCTGTGAAGTTTCCAGTGACGACCAAAGTAATCCTGCATTACAAATTTAATGATCAATTCTCTCTGTCTCATCAGTTCACAGAATGATCAGCAGATACTCAAACCATCTTTTTCTAGTTATAATTTTAATAATACATACTCCATCTCCATGGTTTGCTGTGCTAGAAAAAAGCCAAGAGCAATAACGAGATAAAATAATGATCAGTGCACCAGTTCTTGCGGCGATATCCATAACATAAGCTACCCTTTTCGCCTTAACACTGATCCGACAACCTGCGGCAACCAAAACCTTCAGCTTGTTTGTGAAAACAACCTTACAGTAGTATACTTGGATTCAGCTAAATATTACGTTCTATCTATTAATTACAATAACTTCACAATTCGAATAGTAGATGCCCTTATCCAAAAGGATAACTGCTCCTCCTTTCCTCGCCATTCTTTGAACCGTTTCCGTGATCGGTATTGGACTACTCCATATAACTGGTATTATTGGCCAAGAGGAGCTAAGTATTATGATGAATACAATAAGAGCATAGTTTTGGTAAACTGTGAACATCGAATACTGGATTCTCGGCTTTATGTGGATACTCATCCTTGCATCAATAGCACGTATTATTCAGGTGAGGTTATTATTATTAATTTTAGTTAATTTAGCAGTCTAGTCGCATTAACATTTACAAAGAAGCACAAGGCCCTAATAAGTTAATTATAACTGCAATATTATATTAATTCAATTATTATAATTCAGGTTATTGGTATATAATGCTTGGCTCTCGCTCTACTTATGTGAGGGATTTGGTGGATTCTTGCCGTGTTGAGCAGATAGTTATGGCATCTTTTCGGCCACAAGAAGCGATGGACATTTCATATCTGGATGTTCACCGCATTATGTCATATGGGTTTGAGATGTCATGGTTTTGGGCTTGCTGTGACAACTATCAGGAAAACCGCTGCAACATTGCCAACATTACGAAATACTGTTACAGTACGTTTCATTTCCATGGACTCCATTTCAAGTTGGGTTTGAATGGTTATTATGATTGTAAATCAGTTCTGGTTCAAAACTGAATTGTGACCAAGACTAATTAGGACTCATTCAACCAATAAAAATTCAACCAATAAAAATTGCGTTTTGGGTGATCTTTTTTATCCCCTAATAGTTCATATATGCTTTCCTAAGTTTTAATATTTACTTTGCAAAGAGAAAAAATAGTAATGAAAGTATTTTTGACATGAACATTTTAGTGTGGATTTCAAAGCCAGTCTTGCCTAGTGCAATGAGTAACATTTCAACTTTTTTAATTTTGTTGTTTCAAAGAGAAAAAGGGGGAAAAAAAAAAAAAAAAATCATTTGATATTTGTCTTTTTCATTTTTATTTTGTGTTTTCATTTTGTATATAAAACTAATATTTCTCTTTGTCTATATTGGAATAGGAACAAGAACGAACTGGCTCCGTGTAGATGTCGGCTGTAAGGAGCTGTTTTGGGTTATTATCCTTTCTATATAGAAAATGTTTTCAATGACTAATTTAAAAAAGAAAAAAAAAACTATATATCAATCGAAATTTACTAACTTTTTTTTTCCATTAAATGATTAAAATATTCTTGTTTTTCGAAAAATATATATATTTTTTTATTTGGATCCGCAAACCAAATCTAGATAAGTCATTCTTTCCTCTCTATACCAATATAAATTTATAATCTGCAAAGTTCCCATCAAGTTCCCATCATTTACTTTCCATTTATCATATCGTCGTCTTAATTTCGTCGTGACAACTTCCTCCTCCTTTTCTTTTCTTTTCTTTTCTTTCCTTTTCTTTTTTTTTTTATTTTTTATTTTTATTTGCGCAGCGCTGCTTCATAGCGTTCGCCACCTGGGTAGGAAAGATACTTATGGTTTTCTTGGTAAGAAGCATTTTACATGTGTTTTTACATTTAAAGGTTTCTCATAGCAAGAATAGTGAGAAAGAAAGATAATATTGACAGAATTTTATATGAATCTCTCTCCAAAACATGTATTTTTGTTGGACCTATGGTCATGTTAATAAAAAAATTTACGACACCGTAGCTAATATTGCTATGAATTTTTTTTCTAAATTTATAAAAAGTTAAGTAAAATAATAAATGTTAGTTATAAGTATAGAGTATTAGTTTTGGTTTTTGTTTTGCCATTTTTTAAGCATATAATTTTAGTTAGGATTTATTGAAATTATACTCAAGTTAGAACCCTTATAAAAATAGGTTTTATTCATTATGACATAATTTTATTTTTAGAGAGTCATTACTTGTTGTTAATATTATATGAATAAATAAAAAGTATTTTATTTTTTTATTTTAATATTCACTATAATTTGAAAGTAATATTTTTTTTTTCATTAAATTATATCCAATCTAATGGATAAAATATTATTTTTTATTTTAATATTGGGTACAATTTGAAACTAGGGTGATATTGTAATTAAAGTAAAGTTCAAAGTACTAGGAAAATAAAGTTAAATTTAGGGTACAATTAAAACTATCCACATAATTTGTCGTTTTTTTTAATGATTTAGCTTATTAATATTATTATGGAAATTAAAACTAAATTTAAAAGGGAAATTGAACCTTATTAATATTATTATGGAAATTATAGTACAGTAGTTTACAAAAATGAAATAATCAAAAGTAGTTTACAAAAATGAAATAATCAAAAATAAAATAAAATCACACCCTATAAGAATATTTATAGTTAAAATAAGCTAAATTGAGACAAACTAATTCAAATATACACATTTGAATTATATCCATAGCACCTCCGTGAAGCTGGTGGCCTTTGTAATAATTATAACTTGTTTTGAATATATCCATGTCATCAAATTCATTTTTATTATAATCATATTTGCATTAATTGACATGTACAATCAAAAAATTAAATCTTTTTGTACTCTTTTTGTGTTTATGCAGGATTAGGAGAGATATTTAATGATGCGCATTGTAAGTTCCATTTCTGAAAGAGCTTTCATTAATAAGCAGTGTTGATTGGTCATCAATGATGGAACTAGGGGTGGCCAACTGTGGCGGCGACCTCCCTAATTTTATTTATTTTTTTTTAAGTTTACCTTATAAAATATGGAATATTATCTTTTACCTGTAAAACAATAATGTTTTTCGATGTTGTCCCCTCTAAATGTTGGAAAATTTTTTTTGCCTCTTCTAATTATTTTTTCTTGGTCACCTGTTAGTTGTTTAACTTGGGCTTTCTTTTATTTTTTAACTTGGGCTTTCTTTTATTTTGGCAGACTTGATTTTGGACCTGTATGCTAACCGCATTCCCAATGGTAAGGATGCTTACACTTTATTGCAAGTTTAATTGTGCTATATTTGGATAGAAAACAAGAATAATCAAACTTTGAGATTATTTCTAATTTAATTTTATTAATTTATTTATTTTGTTTCAAAAAATAATTTAGAATAATATAATAATGCTTGTTAATCCTTAATTCAAAAGAACAAAAAGAAAAAGATATATTATTACATTTTCTTTTGCTAATTGTTTTTCATTTTTGTTTTGTCAATGCAGGCAGGTCAATAAGATATGCCCGATATTATGTCTTGGGTGAGAATATTCATATCACACTTTTTTTTTTTTTTTTTTTTTTTTTTTGAGGGGTTGGCTAATATGATAATCTAGGGCATCATGTCCAAGCTTCTCATTATTCAAAATTCAAGGTTTCCAAACACATAAAATCCTTAAAGAAAGAACAGAAAAAAAAAGAAAGAAAGAAAAAAATCCTTAAAAAAATGTAATTTAATCTAATAGCTCAACGTAATCTCATAATCCTCAGTTTTCTAACAAATAGCTCAATGTAGCTCATAAACGCAAGAACATCTAATCTAAGCATAGATATGAAGATAAATGGATTAAACTTACTTGTTGAGTGAGAGACTCAAATGCGAGAGAAGCTTATGAACAAGCTTGGAAGACTGAGAAAAGTATTCAAAGGTTTGCCAAAATCCATTATCTAATTCTTTTTCATGCATTCCCATGAAATCAAAAGCTAAATAATAAAGAAAATAAGTTCATATGATTAAGAAGACTTGAATTCAAGATATTTCACTGTTCATATTAGTAAGAAGATTAACTAAACCACTCCTGATTAGCTAGCCCTAAATATATTGAAATTGGAAAGTTTAAGAAGTGAAATGCGAATAGTTCCATGTTCAACGGATTAAATAATGACAAGAATAAAGCACAAACATTTTTAAGCCAATGTGTCAAGTTTTATATCGCTACATATTTTACATCTTTTAACTTTTTTTTGTTCTTTTCCTTCTTTCAGGTTTGCTTCCTTATTTAATTTCTATCTTTGGTAAGGGAATTCCTTTCCTTATTTATGCCAAGCTTCACTGTTTTTAACTGTCAAATAGTTGCTAATAATTGTTCTATCAATTTTTCCAGTGTTATATCGTGCAACATTAACCTTATGTGGGATAATAGGTCTTCTCTCCTTTTGGATTTATAAATGGCAAAGGAGACATTTATCAAAATATGATAATATTGAAGAGTTTCTTCAAAGTTATGATAATCTCTTCCCAATTAGATATTATGATAATCTCCTTCCCAATTAGATACCTCTTGACTCAGAAATTAAAAAAAAAGAAGATAACAAACGGTTTCAAAGAAAAGCTGGGAGAAGGAGGTTTTGGCTCTGTATACAAAGGAAAACTCCGGAGTGGTAATTTTGCTGCAGTAAAAATGTTGAACATGTCCAAAGGTAACGGTCGAGACTTCATCAATGAAGTTGCTACAATTGGGAGCATTCGTCACATTAATGTGGTTCGTCTTGTTGGTTTTTATGCTGCGAAATCTAAACGTGCTCTCGTGCTCTCGTATATGATTTCATGTCTAATGGATCTCTCGAGAAGTATATATTTTCGGAAGAACGTAGCAATTTGATACCCATTGAGAAAATGTATGAGATTTCTCTAGGAGTGGTTCGCGGGATTGACTATCTTCACCGAGGCTGTCATATAAAAATATTACATTTTGATATCAAGCCACATAACATTCTTCTCAATGAAAATTTCTTGCCAAAAATTTCAGATTTCGGACTTGCAAAATTATATTCGACCGATGAGAGTATTGTGTGTCTCATAGCAGCGAGGGGAACAATGGGTTACATGGCTCCAGAACTAATCTACAAGAACATTGGAAGTATATCTCATAAAGCTGATGTGTATAGTTTTGGGATTTTGTTAATGGAAATGGTGGGAAGAAGAAAGCACTTGAATGCATTTGCTGATGCATTTGCTGCGCAATTGTCAGCCAAGTCTATTTCCGACATGGGTTTATGAAACAATTTAGTCAAAAAAAGACATGGAATTGGGAGATAATGTTTCAGAGGAGGAAAGTACAATGACAAAGAAGATGGCTTTAGTAGCTCTTTGGTGTATACAATTAGAACCCATTTATCGTCCATCCATGCATGAAGTTATAGACATGCTGGAAGGAGAATTTGAAAACCTAAAATTGCCTCCAAAACCTTCTTTGGTGCCACAAGACAAGGAAAAAGAGGATGTTGGTATCAACAATGGTTCTTCAGAGCTGATAACTATACCAGGTGATTGCATAGAGTCAGAGTCCGAGTCTATTAGTTTGCTTATGAATAATGCAAATTAAATTATTAGGGTTTGGTTGTTGGAATTCAACATGTCTATAATAATTCCTTTTGGTGCCACAAGACAAGAAAAAAGAGGATGTTGGTGTCAACAATGGTTCTTCAGGGCCAATAACTATACCAGGTGATTGCATAGAGTCAGAGTCCGAGTCCAAGTCCGAGTCTATTAGTTTGCTTATGAATAATGCAAATTAGATTATTAGTTTGCTTATGATAACAGTTTTTGTGCCAAATTCCTGAATAAAATGTAATATATGAATGTAAAATAAAATTGTAGCAGCTTGATTGTATGAAAATTATAATGCCATCACAGGCAAAGTGTTTCTTTTTTCCTTAACCAATTTTTGTCGAATTTCAATATCATATCATTAGATTCAGTGAATCATTTGAGCCAAAATTCGCTGACCATATCCGCAAGTTCCATTATTGTGAAAACTAGTTTAAATACGATACTAAATTATTGCAATACCAAAAATTATAGAAAAAAAAAAATCTTTTGGGTCCCTAATTTATAACCTAATTAACACTTCCATCTCCATATTTTTGAGAGATTATTATGCCATCTGTTTAAAAAGTGTATTTAACTAATAATAAAGTGCTGAACTTTTGGGATGAAAAGACCACCGGTGACTTGCTAAGGATGTAATAGTAATTTCTTAGAAACAAAAAGGAAAAGAAAAACAAAAAGGAAAAGGAAAAAAGGAAAAGGTGCAAATTAGGATATAAGTTAGATACTCAAAGCGTATTTTTTTTCAGAAATATATTATGAGCCTTATAAAAGTTAACATTTTTTGTTTTGAAAAAAAAATGAAAGTTAATCCAAAATATCATTTCCGTACAACTTTTAAACCATTGTAACAATCTTAATTGGTGTTAAAAATTTTGGACATCAAATTTTATTTTAGTTTGAGTTTCGTATATATTAAGAAAATATAGTTATTATGATTAATTATAATTTTTTTTATTTTATAAAAATCCATATTATTAAAATTAAATTTAACATTAACAATATAACTAAATTTTAATCAATAAGTCTACGCATTAATCTAATGTAGAATCAACAATGTTAAGTGAAAAAAATCTTTTAATTAATTGATTCATACAATATCATCGTTGAAACCAATTAAAATTTAAATTTTAATTTTAATGCAAGAAATCAAAAAATTAAGTTATGGAATTGGTTAATATTAATATCAAACGCAACAGTTTTATTCGTAAAAATGCACATTAAATGAAAATAAAAATTATTTTATTCTAAAAAGAATAGAAAATAGTACTATAATTTAAACAAATGAAAAGAAGTAAGGCAAGGCAAGAATTTTAGAATGGAGAAAACATTATTTATTATATTATAAAATTTGTTTGATCTCTCAAAATTTGGTATTTTTAAAGTTCATTTAGAAATAAAAAATAAGACAAAATTTTAAATTAAAATAAAAAATGACCCGAGACAGAAGAAAGTATAAATGGTGTGGCCTGGTACGATAAAAAAATTTGGTTAAAGGCGGGATTGGCTTTTTTTTTTATATATATATATATATTTTTTAAGAGCGAAAACGGCCTTTCCCTCCTCTTTCTCTGTAAAGATAATGAAAATGGAGAAGATAGCTAGCATATGTAGAAACCCAAAAGCCTCGTCGTTTCGCGGATCTCATTCTGATCAGAATCCCGTCATTCCTGCCTCTTCTTTCTCCCTCAAATCTGTAAAAATCTGAACTTTCTCTTTTCGTTTCCCTTTTTTTTTTTTTTTTTTTTTTTTTTTTTGTACTTCACTATTTTATCTGTTATGCTGTTATTGAAGTAGTAGCCGATGTTTAATTGTTTCGTGATAGGTTGTTGATTTTGTTTTATCCAGGTGTTACTGGACGATTGGTGGGCCTGGTTAAGGTCCGAGAATAAGGATTGCTGTTGCTGGGTTGCTTTAAGCGAGTATGATTTATTTATTATTATTTATTGCTTGATTGTTTTACTTAAAAGTTATTGTTTTACTTAAGTTGTTCTCTGGTCGAGAATTGATGGGCAAAAATTTCTGATCTAATCTAGAAAGTTTCCAAAGCGAAAATGAAGAATTGGGTTTAATTTGAAGTAAGATTTGTGGAAGTTGGCCAGAAGTGTCTTCCTTTCTTGTTTCTTAAGTAAAATTTAATTGAAACTTTTAACATTCTTGCCATTTAATACTGTAAGCTATAACCCAATAAGGATTTTAAGCAAGCTGAGGCCTTCTGCTACAATTTCAAGTTTTCCCCCTCAATCTGTGATGAATTTGCATTTCCAATAGTCTTTTTTTTTTTTTCATGATTTCTTTTTATGATGGTTTTACTAATTACAGAGAGTATATGCAAAAAGGGAAAAAGAAAAGAAAGAAAGAAACGGAAACATCCATTTTAGACTACTTAGAAGATATAGAAATAATGGTTTGTCACTTTCTCGGTGCCTAAATGTTTGTATTCTAGTTTTTGCAACCTACCTTGGACCTTTTGATCCTTGTGAACGTTATCTGAACCTTGGGTTCTTATTTTGGTATGGGCTCTCTTAATTTTAGCTTCTTTAATCTGATTGCAAATAATTCTTCAGGATTGTAAAGAATTTTAGGGTTTGTTCTTTTACTTGTATTTGTATCAAAGCTTAGGAGCAAGACTCTTTTACTCTGCACCAATAGGAGCAAGACTCTTTTACTCTGCACCAATACCCAGGAGAATCAATGCCACCACTCTTGAAACCAGGGATGGAATCACAATTGCAATAAATGGCTTCATAAATAGGTCCCGAACACTTCAAAGTGGCTTTCCAGTTCTGGTATTGTGCCTTTTTTTTTTCTGGGAAAATATATTTTCCCTCTTCACCTTGTTCGCTGTGGTCTTATGTGTAATGTATAAAAATATTTAATTCAAATAATGATTCTAGTAAAATTTCACCCTTTTTCATCGAGTATAAATCTATTGCTTCAGAAAGTTCTTCTAGTATTTGTTTAAGAAACAAAATCAGATTAGAACCAAATCAATGCCTAATAAGGTTGTCCTGAACTTACAGGTGCAAAATTAGATATGCTATTTATGCCTATTTAACCTTTTTAGCTTTTTAGATCAAGCCCCAATTGAATTGTTGATCTCTACAGGTTTGCAATCATTTCCAGATTGGGTTTCCATTTGACTGGGAAGGGTGCCTTGCTCAATTTTATGTGGAAGAATCTGCTAAAAGAGATTCTACAAGTAGAAAAAATGTGCCTAGATTAAATCCAAATACTTACCTGTCATCCATGGATGAGCTCCCAGCAACAAGCATACGTGATCTTGCTATGCGCCTTGCTGAGGATTCTGAAAATCTTAGTTGTGATGATATACTGGGAAAGTTGTCAGACACATTCCAACATACTCCAATGTACCATTCAAACTTGGAAATGGGAAAGTTGTCAGACACATTCCAACATACTCCAATGTACCATTCAAACTTGGAAAGTGAAGGTCCACGAGTGACTGCAAATTCTGAAGTGGATCAAACTGTGAAAAATCATAAGAAGGCAAAGACTTATCAGATGCACAAAGAACTTACCCGAAGTACAAGTGTTGTAACAAGAAGTAGGTACAGATCAAAGAATATGAGTAGCAAGCAGGAAGAGAATCTCCAATCCAAATCTCCAGTCCAGTGCAGAAATTTCAGAAACAAGCCCAAAAAATGTCTTTCATCGAACTTTTCCCTTGAAGGTGAAGTTACTGATCAGATTTTAACCCCAGCAGCTAATAAAAAGTTGTCTGAAGGAGCTTCAATCAACTTGAAAGCAAGTTCTGGCACAGTCAGAAGGCAGTCAGAAGGTCTGGTAGGCCAAATATCCGTAAGAACTATACTGGTATGAATTAATTTTCAGGTAAAAACTTAATGTGAGTTTCAAAATTAAGAATGGTAACCAAAATCCTTCACTTCTATTACATTGAGTTTACAATGAAAAAAAAACTTTCCTTTTTCCCCTTTATCTCCTAGTTCTTAGTTTTTTCATTTGTGCGTTTTACAGACTTATATGCCTACTTGGCCATGGATTACTGTGCATTTGGTTATGTTGCTTTTGCTTTTACAATTAGTTTTTGACCAGAAACAACAAGAGAAGATACATAGGAGAGGATTTGCAAGATCACCCACAAGTTACATCATAATTTGGTATGGTTATTATATATAAAACATCAACTAAAATCCAAAAACAGAAGTAATAGGAGTAGCAATCTCTTATTCTACCTAAGCCATTTTCCTTAGGTGCAAGACATATTCATAAGCTTTGGGACTTGAACTTCTATGTTGAATTCTCCACAGGTTGCATAGGAAAAAAACCAGGAGGAATAGGAAATTAGTGCTATATCCATAAATCCAATCCAAAGGTTCACCTTGCCAAATTAAAGGCTTTCCCCCGAGCTCTCCTTCCAAAATTTTCAAAGCAGGTTCTATCATTCTTCCTTAGCTCGCCTCTTTGGAACTTCTCCTTTGGTCATTATCATTAGTATCCTCTTGCCACTATCATATATATACCTGCATCATATTTTCACATGCATAACTTTGAGAACTTTTATTATCATACTACTGTGATTTTTTTTTTTTAAAAGTGAATACATACGAGACACTGATATGATACACTCTTTATTAATAAATTTAAGCTCTTAATATACCTTTTTGTCTAGAAAATCAGCCCAAACCCTTTATTGCGATCAAAGGTAAGGATCGGATGGCAACAAAGGAGGGTTGTGTTGATTCCATGTGTCATCAATGTATTGGAGGATGATGAGAGATTCACAAATAGGTAAATAGGTTTCTCATTGTGAATAAGGACAGGGACCATCATTTTATGAATAGGGTTCATTTGGAGAATCAAAGGGCTCCTATTCAACATGTTTTCTTGCTTGTATTCATATTTGATCCCTTTCTCAGCCAAAGCTATTCTCACTCTCATTCCAAAAGAACTATCAAATAAGTCCAAAAGGATTACTTCTTCATCCATTTATTATTACTATTTCAAGAATGCCCATTAACAAGCCATTTATTATTACTATTTCAAGAATGCCCATTAACAAGCTCGAAGGTCTCTTTTTATAGCTGAGTATGGTCAATCGGTCACTCCTTTTATTCATTTATAATTGTACACTCATATATTAAAAAACTAACCTAAAGCCGTTAGTCTTTTTCTTCATCTCCAAGTTCTTCTTTTTTAAAATTATTTTTCTCATACATCAAATGTCGTATTTTCAATTCTAGGCAGAATGTTCATTGTTAAAGAATGATGTATTGTAATGAAAATATTTTTATTGTCTTTATTTAATAGGTTAAATAGAAAAATCAGTTATTCTACTTGAAAATAATAAAAAGCGATTTTTACTTAATATTTAATCAATTTTATTTTTTAATTTTAAGTTTTAAATAAACACGAAAAAGCGATTTCGAATGGATGGTGTACGCTCTTTTTTACGGTTTGATTTCTGTTTTTCAGTCGATAGTATTGGAATTGGGGGTGGACTTTCTATTTTATGGCATAAATCTGTCCAGTTATCAATTAAGCACTATTCTAGTAATTTCATTGACTGCGAAATCCAGGGTTCGAATGGTATGTGGAGATTCATAGGATTTTATGGGTACCCTGAAAGTACAAGACGATGGGACTCGTGGAATTTATTACGTTCTCTTGCAGTTCGTAGTAGTTTACCTTGGCTATGTGCAGGAGACTATAATGATGTTGCAGCAGATTATGAGAAAGATGGGGGACCACCACGTGACTCATGGAATTTATTACGTTCTCTTGCAGTTCGTAGTAGTTTACCCTGGCTATGTGCAGGAGACTATAATGATGTTGCAGCAGATTATGAGAAAGATGGGGGACCACCACGTGCATCTGGTTTGATCAATGGGTTTCGGGAGGCTTTGATGGATGCTAACTTGTCTGATATCCTTACAATTGGATCTTTGTTTACTTATGTGTACAGGGAAAACATTCCGAATCGTGTGAGAGAGAAGTTAGATAGAGCTTTTGCTACACCATCATGGGTGGATATGATCTCGAATGCAATTTATACTACTTTGGTGGCTCCGGTCTCTGATCATTCTCCACTTTTGGTTGATACGATTAGCTCGTTGGGCTACACAAATCGTAATTTTAGATTTGATAATGCTTGGTTGTTAGATGATGGTCTTTATGGTGTGGTCTCATACTCTTGGCGAAGCTCGACTGGAGAGGATTTTGTGTTGCGGAGGGATAGATTAATTGCAGACATTTGGCTATGGGGAAAAGAGAGAAACCGAACCAGGTGGGGGCAGAAGCGTTTTGTGCAACAGAAACTTGAACGTGAAATTGACACACTGGACACGCTAACTATTAAACAACTAAAGGAAGAGTGGAATAGATTATTGGCAGAAGATGAAGTTCGTTTGAGGCAGCAGGCTAAAGTGTTTTGGTTGAGAAATGGGGACAAGGGCAGAAGATGAAGTTCGTTTGAGGCAGCAGGCTAAAGTGTTTTGGTTGAGAAATGGGGACAAGAATTCAAAATATTTTCACAACAGTATCAAGGCTAGACGGTGCTGTAATCGTATTGAACGGCTACAGGATGTTTCGGGTGCATGGGTGTACAATGAAGATGGTATTCAAGCTCAGGTGAAGGATTACTTTACTGCTCTTTTCCGCAAAGCAGCCGCTCCAAATCGAAGCCAAATTATTAGATTGGTTCAGCCTTTGGTCGACCATAATGATAATGCAGAGCTTACCAAACCTTTTTTGGATGAGGAGTTTCGAACTGCTCTTTTTCAAATGAACCCAGATAAAGCGCCTGGACCAGATGGACTGAACCCGGCTTTCTTTCAAAAGAATTGGAGTTTATTGGGCGTGGATATCTCGAATAGCTGTCGATTATGGTTAGCCCAAGGTCCTTTTCCTAGATCTTTAACTGATACTTTAATTGTTTTAATTCCAAAGTGTGAAAATCCAGTGTCAGTTAAAGATTTTCGGCCCATAGCTCTTTGCAATGTTTTATATAAAATTTTGTCGAAAGCATTAGCTAACAGATTGAAAAATATACTACATAAATTGATTTCTAAAAATCAGTCTGCTTATTCGGGTCGTTTGATAACTGATAACTTTATGGTGGCTTATGAGCTTATCCACAATTTACGGAGTAGAGCTAGGGGTCAGAATGGTGCTTGTGCCCTTAAAATTGATATTGCCAAAGTTTATGACCTAGTTAATTGGGACTATTTGTCTGATATGATCACTGCTTTGGGGTTTGATGCTATATGGTTGAAATGGATGTAAATGTGTTTCATGGATATTGAGTACAAAGTGTGTGTGAATGATAAGCAAGTGGGCCCCATCATTCCTTCTGGGGGGCTGCGGCAAGGGGATCCAATCTCTCCATGTCTATTTTTGTTTGTAGCCGAGGGCTTATCATTGTTGCTTAAAGATGCGGAACGTCGTGGTTTAATTCATGGAGTTCGGGCAAGACATAGGTGTCCTAGGATATCACATTTATTCTTTGCCGACGACTCTTTGCTCTTTTTTGGGGGTACTGTCCAGGAGGCTATGGAAATTAAGGCTATTCTGGGTACTTATGAAGCTGCTTCAGGTCAATCTGTTAATCTTAATAAGTCTGGCATTCTCTTTAGTCCTGTTATTTCTGGACATGTTAGTCGGGCTATTCTGGGCATTTAAATGTTTCTTTACCTCTTGGGAATAGTAATTATTTGGGGTTGCCATCGTTGATCGGGAGGAATAAAAAATAGATTTTTTCTTTTCTCAAGGATAGGGTGTGGAAGAAAATGAATAATTGGAATAGCCGCTGTCTTTCTAGAGCTGGACGCAAAGTTCTAATCAAATCTGTAGCGCAAGCAATACCAGCTTATTGCATGAATGTATTTTTGCTTCCAGTATCTGTAACAAATGCGATGCAGGTGATGTTTAATAAATATTGGTGGAATGGTAAGGGGGATGCAGGTGATGTTTAATAAATATTGGTGGAATGGTAAGGGGGACCATAGGGGTATTAATTGGATTGCTTGGGATCGCATGTGTAGTAAGAAGTCTATCGATGGGATGGGGTTTAGGGACTTACGATGTTTCAACACTGCTTTGGTAGGGAAACAGGGGTGGAGGTTATTAACTGACACCAACACTCTTGCGTATAGTGTTTTCAAAGCTAAATATTTCCCTAGGGGGGATTTTCTATCTGCTACTCCTAGATCGGGTTGTAGCTATGTCTGGAAGAGTTTTGTTCTCTAAACAGGTGTTGCAACAGGGCATGAGATAGAGGGTAGGAGATGGGAGGAGTATATATGTGAATAGAGATCCATGGATTCCTCGTGAGACCAACGCCTATGTGGAGGATGGTGCTCCTTTTATTCCTGATGCTTTACGGGTGTGTGATCTTTTTGTTGCAGGTGCGAGGAAATGGGATATCTCGAAGATTGCAGGTGCGAGGAAATGGGATATCTCGAAGATCATTCATCTTTTTACTGTAAATGATATGAGGAAAATTTTGAGTATCCCATTAAGCTTTTATACCCATCATGATAAATTAATATGGCATTTTGACCGGAAAGGCCTTTACACTGTCAAAACTGCTTATCATGTAGCTTACCGTTTGCTTCGATATGGTGGTGGCGGTGCCGATGTGCTATGGAAGCAGATATGGAAGCTTAATGTTTCCCCCAAAGTCCGCGATTTTATGTGGCATATGGGTCGTAATGTGCTCCCCACTCGAGACAATTTATCGAAGAGGGGTGTTACTACTTCACTTCACTGTTTGTTTTGCCAGGAATCTGAGAATGGGGATCATGTACTGGTCAAGTGCTCCATTGCGCAAGAGGTGTGGAGGCAGGCTGGTTTTCTTTTTGCTAATATAAATTTGTCTTTTCAGGAACTGTTCATTCATATAATCTCTTCAAAGGGACAGCAACATGCCGAGCTGATGGCTACCGTTGCATGGAGTTTATGGGCTGCTAGGAATGCTATGTTGTGGTCCAATGTCTGGTCGAACCCTTGGCAAATTTCTCATACTGCTCGCCTGCTTCTAGATGATCGAACCCTTGGCAAATTTCTCATACTGCTCGCCTGCTTCTAGATGATTATTGGGCTGCATCAGCTTCATCACAAGCAGCAACGGCAATAACACACGCTGCATATGCTCCTGCCCAACCAGCCCATATTGAACATCCAGCTAATTGGCTTGCTTATGTTGATGGTACAGTTTTTCGGGCAACGGATTTTGTGGGTTTTGGCTTGGCTATTGAGGACGCTGAAGGTCATTTTTCGTTAGCTATTTCGGGCTTTCAGGAAGGTGGTGATGATCCGTTGATTGTGGAAGCTCTTGCATTGAGGCAATGTTTGCTTTACGTCTCTGTTTCTTTACTTGATCCTGGTTGCATTTTTACTGATTGTCAATCTTTATATTTGTCTTTGAACTCAATGAGTGAGGATAGTTTTAATTTTGGGTTGATTGTATCGGATTATAAGACCTTGCTTCTTACTAGGCCAGATATTACAGTTTTTTGGATTAGACGCACAGAGAATGAGTGTACCCATCTGTTAGCGCGTAACTCTATTCGCCATAGTAGGTTTCAACTATGGGTTAATATCCCGGATGTATTGATTGAGTTCTATTCTCAACTATAATATATGAGTTCTCTTCTTTTCAAAAAAATCAAAAAAAAAAAAAAAATTTAAAGTTTCCCAACAACTTGCAATTTCCGATCAAAAAGACTTAGTTGGGTTAGTTCTCGCATCATTACTAATAAGAAATACTCTGAGAGTAGAATGCATAACTTACCAATAGTCCATTTATTATTATTATTATTAGGTTTATGTTCGATTTGGGAAATCTAATTAAATACCATAACATCAACAACTTAATTATCTACGCATACAATTATAACTTAATTATCTGAATATGTAAATTATAAATAAATATTTATTAAAATGAAATTTCAATGTTTAGCTCTTGCTCATAAAAACAAAAATTCACCATTGCAGCCTCAGAACAACCAATAGTACATATAAGACTTGGGCATGTCCAAATTCAAATCCCCTTCCCCCATTACTTAAAAGATAAAAAACAAAATAAAAAAGACAGCCTCAGGGTGTCTTAAGAACAAATCATTCATTTCATAAGATCCATTGTGCAATGATAGAGAATAGAAACAAACAAAAGAATAGTATGGATAAACTGAAAATTATAATTTTCTTTTCCTTCTTTAATGGAAAGGACAAAAAGCTTATCATCAAATGAAAATGCACTCTCTACAGTCATGCAAACAGAATCCAAAAAAAAAAAAAATCTAGCAATACTTTTTACAGGGAATTAGAAATGGACTAATACTTTTTACAGGGAATTAGAAATGGACCTATCTGCAGCTTAGTTGCACTTCCTTGCAATCCCAGAATTGCACACCTACCCATCTCTAAACCAAAAAAATTTTAGATCCGGAGCCAGATAGTATTCTTTTACAGGACTTACATGTGGACCTATTCAAAAGGTTAGTTTCACTTCTTTTTGATTCTGCAGTACACAGGAACTCTTCTGCCTCGGTAGCGATCCATGAACTTGATGATGAGGTTATAATGCTGAACATTCTTGCTACAATATCTGGCTTAGTTCCACTTCATGGAAGACTCTGTCTGTAACACAATCTCACAATCCCCTGGACCTTTTTTTGGGTGGTTTGGCCCAAATTTTACTGGCATTTTTGTGTAGAACTAGAGTGGTTGGTTTTGACCTTAAAGACAAATGATGGAAGTGACTTATTACTCTATATATATATATATATTGCGAAATTTCCCACTTACTTTTGATTGACTTATTACTATTTAAATTAATATTTAAAAATGGAAGTGACTGTCAATTTGTTCAGCAATAATTTCTTGGTCTTTTTAAATGATTTTATTAAAATATTTTTACACAAAATAGAAAAAGAAAGAAGAAAATATTAAGAAGATATTTTTGCAAGAAACCGCAAAGAAAAGAAACAATAATTGTTTGACTAATAATTAATTTTTTAAATTAATGAGTAATAACAATTAATATGTAATAACTTATTAATCAAATAAAATTTTTTACCTAAAAATTAATGAGAATAACAATAACTAACACAGAATTCCTTTCAAATCTCAAAAGTTGTATAAAAAAAAAATCTAAAGAGGAAGCATGAAGGGGGAAATAAATTTATTAATCAATGAATTTAGATTTTTTTTTTTTTTTTTTTTTGAGAAGTAGATTAATTTTTTTCATTGAATAAAATTAATTGAAAGAGAAGAAATTAGAAGAAATAGACTTTATAGGAAATCAAAAAATTAAACCAAAAATCAAAATCCAACTTGTTTTTTTTTTTCTATTTTAATTAGGAATTATTAGAAATTATATTATTGGATAAAGTGTTGGTATGTTGATGCACTTCTTTATAGTGTTCTGATTGCTTGTGTTAATTATTTTGGCTACTCTGTTGGTGAGTATTAACGTTTGAGGATTCCTTGATACACTTGCATTTCGGAACTTGATGAGGTTAGTATGGTAGATGAGGTTAGTATGGTAACTGCGTTATTTTTCAGGGAACAAAATATTTTTCTACCATCAGAATGCTCATGGGAGGTCTTAGAGTTAATAAATTTATTGTGAATTTAACATTCCTTTAGAGTTTAGAACTGCAAGAATTAAATAGCTCTAGCCAACATGGTTCTTCAATTGATGATGCTAACATAAATATGAAATGTAATTGTATATTTTTGCTTCAGAGTTTGTAAGTATGCTATGTGTCTTTCAACAAATGATGATGTCTTAAGCCATTTCCTGGTAGAAAAATTGGATCTTTCTTGCTAAAATGAATATCTTTCTTGCTAAAATGAATTGGGTTGATCTAGCTAATGAAACAGTAAAAATCTTATGTCATACAATTTCCTTGCTGAACCTAAAGTTAAGAATTTCCTTACAGGGTTATTCCTCTGTCCATCTTTCTCAACATCCTTCCTTGGGGAAAAAAAAATCTCTCCCAACTTCCAGTTTGAGAATTTTGCCAATTAATGCTCTTAAGATTCACTAAAAATCTTTCTCAATCTGCATTTTGCTTTTGTGAATTTAAAATCCTGTATTGGTTTGTAAGTAATGTGTTAGTTTAATTGATTGCATGTAAGTTTAATTGATTTGCAATGATCGGAAAAATACAAGTTGGTTTTGAAGTTGGGTTTTGTGAAGTAGTAATTGAAATCCATCTTAAAATTTTAAATTGTGAATTAACCTCTACAGTTTACATAGGGTTGCCAAAATTAAAGAAATATAGTGAAACTTTTTTGAAGTGTTAAGATGTTTCCAAGGGTTTTAGTGTCTGGAATGTGTCCAACATGCTAAAAAAGTCTTCATGATTCATATGTTAGAAGAGTGTTCCTCTGTGATCTAGTCTCAAGATGTTTCCTTATACATTTGATTATCAGGTTCTTATGGCTGATTGCAGTGGTCCAGACTCCAGAGATGTTATTTGTTTATTGTTGCCACAGTTGTTGATGGAGCCAAAAAGGCCACAGTTGTTGATGGAGCCAAAAAAGGGTGAATTCAATATCTCATGATGTGGTTTGCTTTGTAGCACACAATTGAGTTCTGAGTAGTTGTATCCTATCATTTTTGTTTTTGGCTTCTATTTCCTATACTAAAAGGCTTGTATCTTGGAAATAAGAAAAATAAATTGAGTTTAATAATTGATCTTATTTGAGAAGTAAAAACCATATAGAAAGGGCCCCAGTTTCTCAACTATAGGATGTATGCTATGTCCTATAACATTAGTTATATTTTCAGTCACTGTCTTGACCTTTAGGTTTGCTACTTCTTAATTCACCTTTTGGTAATCACGAGCGATGCACAACTCGATTATAGGGTGAAGAAAATGCATAGACTTGGCAGAAACAATGGCCGCATTGTCTAAAAATGACTCTGTGGCTTTGGCTCTATGTGCAGCGGTTGATACTCTATTATAGGCTGATACTAGCTAGTGCTTCCCTACGGAGCCTGCTCGAAAGTGTGCTGCGAGGTCTGCACTAATCGGAGAATAGACTTCGAAAGTGTGCTGCGAGGTCTGCACTAATCGGAGAATAGACTAGTCGTCCAATAAGAAGTATGACAATGGGCCAATATGTTTCCCTTAATGAACCTTTTCCTTTGGCTTCGTCGCAGCTTCCTTGAAGGAGACTTCCCAATAGACTTGCTTTTTTGTGTTACCCCACATAATTCTTAGACTTTCGCTATGGGGGATTGACTTAAAAGGAAGACTTATGGGGCATTGACTTAAAAAGGAAGACTTGTGGTGTGCAATGTTTATTGGAAGTCGCTTTGAAGTTTCCAGCGACGACCAAAGTAATCCTGACCAAAGTAATCTGCCATCACAAATTATTTTAATGATTCAAATTTCTCTCTGTCTGCATCCAGTTCACAGAATGATCAGCAGATACTCGATCAATTCTCTCTGTCTCATCAGTTCACAGAATGATCAGCAGATACTCAAACCTTCTTTTTCTAGTTACAATTTTAATAATACTCCATCTCCATGGTTGCTGTTCTAGAAAAAGCAAAAGCAATAATGATCAGTGCACCAGTTCTTGCGGCTATATCCATAACATAAGCTACCCTTTTCGCCTTAACACTGACCCGACAACCTGCGGCAACCAAAACCTTCAACTCGTTTGTTAAAACAACCTTACAGTAGTATACTTGCCTTCAGCTAAATATTACGTTGTCTATTAATTACAATAACTTCACAATTCGAGTAGTAGATGCCCTTATCCAAAAGGATAACTGCTCCTCCTTTCCTCGCCATTCTTTGAACTTTTTCCATAATTATCCATTCTATATAGAAAATGTTTTCAATGACTAATTTAAAAAAAAAAAAAAACTATATATCAATCGAAATTTACTAACTTTTTTTTTTCAATTAAATGATTAAAATATTCTTGTTTTTAGAAAAACGTTTTTTTTTATTTGGATCCACAAACAAAATCCAGACAAGTCATTCTCTCCTCTTTATACTAATATAAATTTATAATCTGCAGAGTTTCCATCACTTACTTTCCATTTATCGTATCCTCGTCTTAATTTCATTCCTCCTCCTTTTCTTTTCTTTTTTTTTTTTAATTTTTTATTTTTATCTACGCAGGGCTGCTTCGGAGTCTACGCTACCTGGGTAGGAAAGATACTTATGGTTATGTTGGTAAGAAACATTTTACATGTGTTTTTACATTTAAAGGTTTCCCATAGCGAGAATAGTGAGAAAGAAAGATAATACTGAAGCATTAATACTGAGAGAATTTTATATGAATCTTCTCTCCAATTTGAATTACATTAAAGTTCAATTTAGCACTCTCAAAATACTTATAAATAAATTAATTTTTTAAATTACTTATAAATAAATTAATTTTTTATATAATTATTGTCCCAAATTTACAACAAACAACTACAAAGACCAAATTTGTAGCTAAAAAGAATGAAATAATTATTTTTATTATTTACTTTTAATAAAATAATAGTTTGTACCTTTTCAAAATTATTATTTTACTTTTTTTTTTTTTTGGGTTAAAACTTGACCTTTTTGCTCATTTGATGTAAAATTAGTATAATGATTACATAAAAATTAATTTTTGGATAAACCATATATAGCACCCAAATTTGGCTAAATCATTAAAAACATCATAAATTTTGTGGGCAGTTGTAATTGTACTCTAAATTCAACTTTTTTTCTCTTAGTACCTTGAACTTCAATTATAGTTACAATAGGACTCAATTTCATTTATTTTTGTTGGACTTATGGTCATGTTAATAAAAAATTTACGACACAGTAACTAATATTGCTATGAATTTTTTTTAAATTCATAAAAAGTCAAGTACAATAATAAATTTTAGTTAGTTATAAGTATAGAATATTAGTTTCGGTTTTTGTTTTGCTATTTTTTAAGCATAAAATTTTAGTTAGGATTTATTGAAATTATACTTAAGTTAGATCTCTTATGAAAATAGGTTTTATTCATTATGACATAATTTTATTTTTTGAAAATCATTACTTGTTGTTAATATTATACGAATAAATAAAAAGCATTTTATTTTTTTATTTTAATATTGGGTATAATTTGAAACTAATATTTTTTTTATCATTAAATTATATCTAATTTTGAAACTAATATTTTTTTTATCATTAAATTATATCTAATCTAATGGATAAAATATTATTTTTTATTTTAATATTGGATACAATTTGAAACTAGGGTGCTATTATAACTAAAGTTAAAATTCATGGTATTAAGAGAATAAAGTTAAATTTAGGGTATAATTAAAACTACCCGCATAATTTGGGTTTTTTTTTTTTTAATGATTTAGCCCCCAAATTTAAAAGGGAAATTGAACCTTATTAATATTAAATTGAACCTTATTAATATTATTATGAAAATTATAGTAGAGTAGTTTACAAAAATGAAATAATCAAAATAAAATAAAATCACACCCTATAAGAATCTCTATAGTTAAAATAAGCTAAATTGAGACAAACTAATTCAAATATACACATTTGAATTATATCCATAGCAGTAAGCATGGCCACAGTTCCGGAACCGGCGGTTCCGGTTCCAGAAAAGTTGGAACCGGAACCGAGCCGAAATGGTCCGGTTCTGGTTCTGGTTCCGTTCCGATTACGAAACCGACGGTTCCGATTGGTTTTCCGGCTCCGGACGAATCGCATAATAATTTTAAATTTTAATTTTGAAATTACCGGTTTAAAAAAAAAAAATTTTATCGTGAACATAAAAATTAAAAAATGCAGTTAAAAAAATTTTAAAAATATGAAGACCGGTTAAAAAAATTATTTGGAACATTAAAAAATTAAAAAAATACACCCTAAAAATGAAAAATTACTTTCAATTAAATTATTTTTTTAAAGAATGAATGTTTGAGTGTTGACATTATGATTTTTTAAAAAAAAAATTTAACTGAAATTTTTTTTTTTTAAGTGAACATAATTTTAAAAAAAAAATTGGGCTTGGAAACTTTTTTTTTTTAATTTTTTTTTTTAAAAAAAAAAATTAAGTTGCCTATGTATCTTCTTGGGGTTTAGAAGAATCAAAGCCCACGTAGTTCTTACTTATCTTATACCAATTTCACCCCTTTTACCTTAGTCACTATTTGCACCACCGGTTGATGTTCCCGTTGAGGACCCATCGTATAAATCAAATAAATCTTTATTTTCTTTTAGATTTTCTTATGCTCTTAGTTCGGTCTTGCTCCATTCATCCACGCATGATTGTGCTTCTAATGAATCGGGTGTCATACGAGATCGTGTTTCATCAAGTATGTTTCCTCCTTGACTATGTAACAAGAAGATAGGTACAGATTCAAAGAATTATGAGGAAGCAAGCAGAGCAAGCAGGAAGAGAATCTCCAATCCAAATCTCCAGTCCAGTGCAGAAATTTCAGAAACAAGCCAGAAAAATGTCTTTCATCGAACTTTTCCCTTGAAGGTGAAGTTACTGATCAGATTTTAACCCCGGCAGCTAACAAAAAGTTGTCTGAAGGAGCTTCAATCAACATGAAAGCAAGTTCTGGCACAGTCAGAAGGTCTGGGAGGCCAAATATCCGTAAGAACTATACTGGTATGAATTAATTTTTCAGGTAAAAACTTAATGTGAGTTTCAAAATTAAGAATGGTAACCAAAATGCTTCACTTCTATTACATTCACTTCTATTACATTGAGTTTACAATGAAAAAAAAACTGGCATTTTCCCTTTATCTCCTAGTTTCTTAGTTTTCATTTGTAGCGTTTTACAGGACTTATATGCTACCTTGGCCATGGCATTACTGTGCATTTGGTTATGCTGCTTTTGCTTTACAATTAGGTTTTGACCAGAAACAACCAGGGAAGATACGTAAGAGAGGATTTTGCAAGACACCACAAGCTTTACATCATAATTTGGTAATGGTTATTATATATAAAACATTCAAAACTTAAAAATCCCAAAAAAACAGGAATTGAAGGAGTAGTTAGTTGCAATTACATCATAATTTGGTATGGTTATTATATATAAAACATCAACTAAAATCCAAAAACAGAATTGATAGGAGTAGTTAGTTGCAAGACATATTCATAAACTTTGAGTGGGTCAGTGAGGGATTTTGAAACTCTTATCTCTCTCTTTGCATCTTTGAACCCATTTCATAAGCTTTGGGACTCGAACTTCCATGTTGAATTCTCCACAGGTTGCATAGGTAAAAAACCAGGAGGAATAGGAAATTAGTGCTATATCCATAAATCCAAAGCTTTCACCTCCAAAGTAAAACTTTTCCCCAAGCTCTCCTTCCGAAATTTTAAAGCAGTCTATCATCTCCTTCTTAGCTGCCTCTTGGACTTGTCCTTTGGTCATTAGCATCATATTTTCACATGCATAACTTTGAGAACTTTTATTATCGTACTACTGTGATTTTTTTTTTTGTAAAAGAGAGTACATACGAGACACTGATATGATACACTCTTTATTAATAAATTTACGCTCTTAATATACCTATTTGTCTAGAAAATCAGCCCAAACCCTTGCTTGCGATCAAAGGTAAGGATCGGATGGCAACAAAGGAGGGTGGTGTTGATTCCATGTGTCATCAATGTATTGGAGGATGATGAGAGATTCGCAGATAGGTTTTCCATTGTGAATAAGGACAGGGGTCATTTTATGAATAGGGTTCATTTGGAGAATCAAAGGGCTCCTATTCAACATGTTTTCTTGCTTGTATTCAACATGTTTTCTGATCCCTTTCTCAGCCAAAGCTATTCTCACTCTCATTCCAGAAGAACTGGCAAATAAATCCAAAAGGATCACTTCTTCAGCCATTTAATGTTACTATTTCAAGAATGTCCATTAAGAAGCTCGAAGGTCTCTTTTTATAGCTGAGTATGGTCAATCGGTCACTCCTTTTATTCATTTATAATTGTACACTCATATATTAAAAAACTAACCTAAAGCCGTTAGTCTTTAGGTTACTTAATGTCGTATTATTTTTAAAATTATTTTTTAAAATTATTTTTCTCGTACATCAAATGTCGTATTTTCAATTATAGACAGAATATTAATTGTTAAAGAATGATGTATTGTGATGAAAATATTTTTGTTGTCGTTATTTAATTGGTTAAATATAAAAATCAGTTATTCTACTTGAAAATAATAAAAAGTGATTTTCACTTAATATTTAATCAAATTTATTTTTTAATTCAAGTTTTCAATAAATACCAAAAAAAAATTTCAAAGTTTCCCAATAACTTGCAATTTCCGATCAAAAAGACTTGTTGGGTTAGTTCTCGCATCATTACGAATAAGAAATACTCTGAGAGTAGAATCATAACTTACCAATAGTCCATTTATTATTATTATTGTTTGGTTTATGTTCGATTTGGGAAATCTAATTAAATATTAACTTAATTATCTACGCATACAATTAAAATTAACATTCTCAATATGTAGATTATAAATAAATATTTGTTAAAAGGCAACTTGTATTTGACATCCACCTAAAATGAAATTTCAATGATTAGCTCTTGCTCATAAAAACAAAAATTCAAATCCAACAACCAACAGTACAATTGTGCAATGATAAAAAATATAAAAAAAGATAAATCACAAAAATTCAAATTCAAATCCCTTTCCCCTATTACTTTAAAAGATAAAAAATAAAATAAAAAAGAAAGCCTCAGGGTGTCTTAAGAACAAATCATTCATTTCATAAGATCCATTGTGCAATGATGGAGAATAGAAACAAACAAAAGAATAGTATGGATGAACTGAAAATTATAATTTTCTTTTCCTTCTTTAATGAAAAATGCTTGTATGTGGCTTTTTTCTTTATGTGCAGCAGTTGATAACCCATTAAATGCTGATACTAGTGCTGCTCTGCGGAGCCTGCTGCGAAAGTGTGCTAGCTTGCGAGCTGCGAAGTCTGAACTTGATGATGAGGTTATAATGCTGAACATTCTTGCTACAATATCTGGCAGGTATTTTGGACAATCTGAAAGCTGACGCTAGTTTACTTAATGTGCTCGGCTTAATTCCACTTCATGGAATACTCTGTCTGTAACACAATCTCACAATCCCCCAGACCATTTTTTGTTGGTTTGGCCCAAATTTTACTGGCATTTTTGTGTAGAACTAGAGTGTTTGGTTTTGACCTTAAAAACAAATGATGTTTTTTCACAATTACTGGTAATGAGTGAAGAACTAGAGTGGTTGGTTTTGACCTTAAAAACAAATGATGTTTTTTCACAATTACTGGTAATGAGTGAAAAGTTTCAGGAATTCATGATTTTTCTTTGTTATCTCAGACAAAAAAAAATAGATTTTCAGGGCGTGATCTTTTCTTGTTTTATTAATTTTGTTTCAAAATATCATTTTTAATGTTTTTTTTTTGACATTTAATATTGATCATTTATTATTAAGAGAAAAAACGAGCAACACAAGTAGGAACAATATCCCAAGTTCGAAAACAAGCTCCATGAGGAACTGATTTAGCCAATACATGAGCTATATCATTTGCTTGTCTTCTAATCCAAGCCAAAAAATATTTTTGCCAATTGAAAAGAAACAAAAATGTTGGACTAAAATAAAATCGCTAAAATATTTTAATTAAATAATGAGAATAACAATTTATAAATTATATAATAACTACTAATCATAAAATATTTTTACCTAAATTACATGGGGAAATAAACAATTTAACTAACCACAGAATTCCTTTTCAAATTTCTTCAAAGTATGTATAAAAAAAAAAAATCTAAAGAGAAGCATTGAAGGGGAAAAAGAAAGTTATTAATCAATGAATTAGAATTTTTTTTTTTTTTGAGGAAGGTAGATTAATTTTTTTTTCATTGAATTAAATAATTGAAAAGAGAAGACAACATTAGAAGAAATAGAACTTAAATAGCAAGATCAAAAAATTCTAAACCAAAAATCAAAAATCCAAATTTGTTTTTTTTTTTCCTATTTTAATTAGCACGAATTATAGAATGAATATTATTGCGATAAATTTTTCTTTCCTATTTTAATTAAAAACATTTAATTAAAAATTATAATCCTAATTAGCAGTTATGAGGATTATCAACAATATTAATACATACATCATACATGTCTATGTGGGTGTGTGTGTGTACGGTTCGAAGCCCGTCAAAAACAATAAGGTTCGAAGATATAAATGAATAACCCTCGATATTTCTCTCCCTAAATCTCGAGATCCCAAAAACACTAAGGTTCAGGTGTGCTTAATGAGGCTCTGGTTTTTGGTTGAAGGGGTTAAGGTGCCATCTGGGTTTCTGCGTGAAGCTGAATTAGGATTTAGGACATCAGTAATTGTTAGAAATTCAGCCTTTTCATTATCTATCCCACTTAATTCTCAGTGAGGCGTTCTCTTTGGTGGATATTCTATAGCTGCCTAAAGCTGTGTTTGGTGATACTTTTATTGATAATATGATTACCAGTGCAAAACGATTGTCCTTTATTGATGATATGATTACCACTTGTGCAAAAGGATTGTACTTTTCGGAACCTAGAGGTGTTTTTTTTCGCGGATAGAGGTCGGGTCAGTTGGTTTAAGGCAAGAGTGAGAAAGATAAATGGGGAGTTGCCAAATAGTCCTTTGGTTGGCAGTTACTCTTGGTATGGGGAGTTGCCAAATAGTCCTTTGGTTGGCAGTTACTCTTGGTTTGGTTCAATTACAAGGAGCAGTAATTTGAATAGTTTTGTTCCAGGGCCATCGTTGAAGAACTTCCACAACTTGTCTTCTGTTAAATTCTCTGCTGGAGCTGCTCATAATGTGTCGTTTGATGGGAATTCTCGTGAGGAACAGCTGGCAAGCTCAACTGTGGAGTCTGGCCAAACCCTGAATTTGCTCTGTACTGATGAGGAAAAAACAGGTGGGGAAGATGCTCACTCTGTTCAATCCTCTGCTGGAGCTGCTCGTGATGTATTGTTTGATGGGAATTCTCGGGAGGAACAGCTGGCAAACTCCACTTTGGTATCTGGCCAAACCCTGAAGCTGCTCTCAGGATCATGCTACTTGCCACATCCTGATAAGGAAGAAACAGACATCCTGATAAGGAAGAAACAGGTGGGGAAGATGCTCACTTTATATGTGCCAATGAGCAAGTCATTGGTGTAGCAGATGGAGTAGGAGGGTGGGCGGATGTGGGAATTAACGCCGGATTATATGCTCGGAAGCCTATGTTGAATTCTGTAAGTGCAATTCAGGAAGAGCCTGTGGGTTCAATTGATGCTGCTAGGGTGCTAGAGAAGGCACACTCCAAAACAAAAGCAAAGGGTTCATCAACGGCCTGCATAGTTGCTCTTATAAATGAGGAAGTACGTGCCATTAATCTAGATTCATGGTAGTTAGAGATGGATGCACAGTGTTCCAATCCCCAGCACAGCAGCATTGCTTTAATTTTCCATACCAACTAGAGAGTGGCAATGAGGGTGATCTACCAAGCTCTGGCCAGGTATTCTTATTTCCTGTTTCTCCGGGTGACGTAATTGTTGCCGGAACAGATGGATTATTCGAGAACTTGTATAACAACGAGGTTACCACTGCTGTTGTTGATGCCCTAAGAGCTGGCTTAGGGCCTCAAATAACAGCTCAGAAAATTGCAGCTATGACAAGTCAACGAGCACTGGATGAGAACCGACAGACACTTTTTTCTACTGCTGCTCAACTTGCTGGGTTAAGCTACTTTGGTGGTAAACTTGATGACATCACTGTTGTAGTGTCGTATGTAACAAGCTCTAACAATTTGTGATCATGTCTTCTCCAATGTGGCTGAACCACCAATTGTTGGTATATTTGTTGGTATCTTGAATGCAATTCTTTTATAGTGGCGTGTTGAGGTATTTAATTTTACTTTTGCTTAATTTTAATTCGTTATCAGTGTTTCGTTGAGGTAATTGTTGTTTTTTATCAACAGTTGGTAATAATATTGGTTACGTTAACTTTAGTGTTCTTGATTCTTGTGTTAATTATTTTTGGCTACTCTGTTGCGTGAGTATTAACGGTTTGAGGGATTCCCTTGAACACTTGCCCATTTCGGAACTCGATGAGGTTAGTAATGGTAATGCGTTATTTTCAGGGAACAAAAATATTTTCTCCAATCAGAATGCTCATGGAGGTTCTTAGAGTAAATAAATTTATTTTGTGAATTTAACATTCCTTTAGATTTAGAATGCAAGAAAATAAGATAGCTTCTAACCAACATGGTTCTTCAAATTGAGATGGTGAACATAATATGATAAATGTAATTGTATATTTTTTTGGCTTCAGAGTTTGTAAGTATGCTATGTGTCCTTCCAACAAATGATGATTGTCTTAAAGCCATTTCCTGGTAGAAAAATTGTTCTTTTCTTGCTAAAATGAATTGGGTTGATCTTAGCTCATGAAACAGTAAAAATCTTAACGTCATCACAATCCCTCCTTGCTGGAACCTAAAAGTTAAGAATTTCTTTGCATCTGATAAGGACTGGACACTTGTTTATGGGTTTTCCCTCTGTCCATCTTTCCAACATCTTTCCTTGGGGAAAAAAAATCTTCTTCAACTTCAAGTTTGAGAATCCAATTAATGCTCTTAAGATTCACTAAAAAGCTGTTCATACATTTTCTTGGTCATTAGTGAGTGAAGTTCAACAAGTGTGTCAGGTTCTGATAGGGACCCTGAAACACCTGTTTACAGGGTTATTCCTCTGTCCATCTTTCTCAACATCTTTCCTTGGGGGAAAAAAAGTCTTTCTCAACATCAAGTTTGAGAATTTTGCCAATTAATGCTCTTAAGATTCAATAAAAAGCCGTTCATACATTTTCTTGGTCATTAGTGAGTGAAGTTCAACAAGTGTGTCAGGTTCTGATAGGGACCCTGAAACACTTGTTTACAGGGTTGTTCCTTTGTCCATCTTTCTCAACATCTTTCCTTGGGGGGAAAAAAGTCTTTCTCAACATCAAGTTTGAGAATTTTGCCAATTAATGCTCCTAAGATTCAATAAAAAGCTGTTCATACATTTTCTTGGTCATTCTTGGTCATTAGTGAGTGAAGTTCAACAGGTGTGTCAGGTTTCGGATTAGTGTTATAAGTGATATAGTGATTTAGAAGCTTAAAGAACTTCAATTGCAGCATGAATTTGTGGTCAAAGTAGGGGATGCTGCCTCCTTATGGGCAAAATAAATATTAAAGGCTAAGTAGCTTGAACAGGAAAAACAAGATAAAATATAACGTGAAATATGACTCTCTTTTTTTTAAACAGCAAAACACAAAAGGCTGGTGAAATATTCTACTAAAAATATATATTTTGTATTTATAATACTGGAATAAATTTATTGCTATAATTATTACACCACGACATTAATTTCAATAATCTAGTCTCAAAACCATGTACTGCATTTTGCTTTTGTGAATTTAAAATCTTGTATTGGGTTGTCGGTAATGTGTTAGTTTAATTGGTTAGTTTAATTGATTGCATGATCAGAAAAATAAAAGTTGGGTTTTGTGAAGTAGTAATTGAAATCCATCTTAAAATTTTAAGTTGTGAATTAACCTCAACAGTTTACATAGTATTGCCAAAATTAAAGAAATATAGTGAAACTTTTTTGAAGTGTTAAGATGTTTCCAAGAGTTTTAGTGTCTGGAATGTGTCCAACATGGTAAAAAAGTCTTCATGATTCATATGTTGGAAGAATGTTCCTCTGTGATCTAGTCTCAAGATGTTTCCTTACATATTTGATTATCAGGTTCTTATGGCTGATTGCAGTGTCCAGACTCCAGAGATGTTATTTGTTTATTGTTGCCACAGTTGTTGATGGAGCCAAAAATGGGTGAATTCAATATCTCATGATGTGGTTTGCTTTGTAGCACTCAATTGAGTTCTAAGTAGTTGTATCCTGTAATTTTTGTTTTTGGCTTCTATTTCCTGTACTATAAGGCTTGTATCTTGGAAATAAGAAAAATAAATGGAGTTTAACAATTGATCTTATTTGAGAAATAAAAACCGTATAGAAGGGGCCCTAGTTTCTCAACTTTAGGATGTATGCTATGTCCTATAATATTAGTTATATTTTCAGTCACTGTCTTTGACCTTTAGGTTTGCTACTTCTTAATTCACCTTTTGGTAATCACGAGGGTTAATCACGAGCGATGCACAACTCGATGTGATTTTTTTTTTTTTAAAAAAAAAAAAAATCAGAAGCACCTGCAAAACCTATAAAGCTTCATGTGGATTAATCAGGGAAATAATTTGCAGTTTGCAAAATAGATTAGTATTTTTTTTCCCTCAGGATCATTCTTTCGTTTTGCATGAACATATATTTGAAAAGTTGGAAAAAACGGAGGTTCTTCTAGAAAATCTGAAACTGCATGTTTTGATGCTACTTTGCCATATAACTAACCAAATTTTCTTCTGTATTGTTTTCTATTTATCTCAGTTTTTATCAGGCTATGAGGGTTCCTGCACCGAAATTTCTTCTAAAATGCAGCCCGTAGGTTTATTCACGAGCAGAATGCTTCCTCCCCTCAGCTTGCTGAGAGTATCACTCTCCAAAAATTTAACAACCTCAGAACTGACAAAGTCTCCCCTCAGCTTGCTGAAAGTATCACTGCTGAAAGTATCACTCTCCAAAAATTTAACCACCTCAGAACTGACAAAGTCGACAACGCAGGCCGTGCTGATAAAATATCAGCATGTTCTTGGAATACATTTACTAAAAATTCTGTCAGTGATTCCACATGCAACTACCCTTCATTGTCTGCGATTTTAGCAATGGATTCTGATACATAAGCATCCAAATGCATAGACTTGGCAGAAACAATCGCCGTCATTGTCTAAAAATGGCTCATGTGGCTTTTTGCTCTATGTGCAGCGGTTGATACTCCATTATAGCTAGCTAGTGCTTCTCTACGGAGCCTGCTCGAAAGTGTGCTGCGAGGTCTGCACTAATAGGAGAATGGACTTGTCGTCCAATAAGAAGTATGACAATGGGCCAATATGTTTCCCTTAATGACCCTTTTCCTTTAGGACAATGGGCCAATATGTTTCCCTTAATGACCCTTTTCCTTTAGCTTCGTCGCAGCTTCCTTGCAGTAGACTTCGCAATAGACTTGCATTTTTTGTGTTACCCCACATAATTCTGAGACTTTATCTATGGGGCATTGACTTAAAAGGAAGACTTATGGGGCATTGACTTAAAAGGAAGACTTGTGGTGTGCAATGTTAATTGAAAGTCGCTTTGAAGTTTCCAGTGACGAGCAAAGTAATCCGCATTACAAATTTAATGATCAATTCTCTCTGTCTCATCAGTTCACAGAATGATCAGCAGATACTCAAACCTTCTTTTTCTAGTTATAATTTTAATAATACTCCATCTCCATGGTTGCTGTGCTAGAAACAGCAAAAGCAATAATTATCAGTGCACCAGTTCTTGCGGCGATATCCATAACATAAGCTACCCTTTTCGCCTTAACACTGATCCGAGAACCTGCGGCAACCAAAACCTTCAACTTGCAACCTTGTTCTTGTGAAAACCAACCTTACCAGTTGTATACTTGGATTCAGCTAAATATTACGTTCTGTCTATTATCTATTAATTACAATAACTTCACAATTCGAATAGTAGATGCCCTTATCCAAAAGGATAACTGCTCCTCCTTTCCTCGCCATTCTTTGAACCTTTTCCGTGATCAGTATTGGGCTACTCCATATTTATGGTATTATTGGCCAGGAGAAGCTAAGTATTATGCTGAATACTATAAGAGCATAGTTTTGCATAGTTTTGGTAAACTGTGAACATCGAATTCTGGATTCTCCACTTTATGTGGATACTCATCCTTGCATCAATAGCACGTATTTTTCAGGTGAGGTTATTATTATTAATTTTAGCAGTCTAGTCCATTAACATTTAACAAAAGAGCCAGGCCCTAATAAGTTAATTATAACTGCAGTATTATATTAATTCAATTATTATAATTCAGGTTATTGGTATATAATGCTTCGCTCTCGCTCTACTTATGTGAGGGATTTGGTGGATTCTTGCCGTGTTGGGCAGATAGTTATGGCATCTTTTCTGCCAAAAGAAGCGATGGACATTTCATATCTGGATGTTCACCGCATTATGTCATATACCGCATTATGTCATATGGGTTTGAGATGTCATGGTTTGAGGCTTGCTGTGACAACTATGAGGAAAACCGCTGCAACCTAGACATTGCCAACATTACGGAAAACTGTTACGGTACGTTTCATTTCCATGGACTCCATTTCAAGTTGGGTTTGAATGGTTATTATGATTGTAAATCAGTTCTGGTTCAAAACTGAATTGTGACCAAGACTAATTAGGACTCATTCAACCAATAAAAAATTGCGTTTTGGGTGATCTTATCCCCCTATATTCATTATATGTCTTCTTAGTTTTTATATTTACTGCAAAAAAAAAAAAAAAAAAATAGGGAAAAAAAAAAAAAAAAAAATAGTAATGAAAAGTATTTTTGACATGACATTTTAGTTGGATTCAAAGCCAGTCTTGCCGAGTGCATGAGTGAGATTTGACTTATGGCATAAGAAGATGAACATTTTTTGAAAACAACTATGTGGTTCTATCAGATGGTGAAGAAGCAGAAATGGCCTTAGAAACAGAAGAACCTCAAGCACAACCTATTAATTTTTAATCTTTGTTTTGTTGGTGGTCTCGTAATACATAGAATAGCTCGATCCTACCTACTGAGCTTATTTAATAAATAAACTGAACTCGAGTTTTAATGAAACTTTAGCTTATTAGTCAACTTGAAATCGATCATTTTTCTTTGCGGGAAACTGTAATAAAGTTGTGATCGAACTCGAGCTCCAACTAGTAAAGCTGGAGCAAGCTCTTAGACTATAACCAACGAGAAAAGGAAAAAAAAAAAAAAAATCATTTGATATTTGTCTTTTTCATTTTTATATTGTGTTTTCATTTTGTATATAAAACTAATATTTCTCTTTCTCTATATAGGAAAACGAATATCCAGGTTCCGTCTTGACGTCGTCTGTAAGGAGTTGTTTTGCATTATTATCCTTTCTATATAGAAAATGTTTTCAATGACTACTTCAAAAAAAATTGTTGTTATTTACTAAAAATTGTTTTCACTTAATCCTTTTTTTTTTTTTCATTAAATGATGAAAATGTTCTTGTTTTTAGAAAAATGTATTCTTATTTTTTATTTGGATCCACAAACCAAATCTTTATACCAATATACATTTATAATCTGCAGAATTTCCATCACTTACTTTCCATTTATCGTGACAACTTCCTCCTCCTTTTCTTTTCTTTTCTTTTTCTGCGCAGTTCTGCTACTGAGTATACGCTACCTGGGTAGGAAAGATATTGCTGGCGGTTATGGTGGTAAGAAACATTCTACATGTGTTTTTACATTTAAAGGTTTCCCATAGCAAGAATAGTGAGCAAGAAAGATAATACTGAGAGAATTTTATATGAATCTCTCTCCAATTTGAATTACATAAAGTTTAATTTGCACTCTGAAATTACTTATAAATAAATTAATTTTTTATATAATTATTGTCCCAAATTTACAACAAATAACTACAAAGACCAAATTTGTAGCTAAAAAGAATGAGAAATAATAATTTTTATTATTTACTTTTAATAAATAAATAGTTTGATATTTTGCTTTTTTTTTTTTTTGTTAAAATTGACCTCTTTGCTCATATTTTGCTCATATGATGTAAAATTAGGATAATGATTGCATAAAAAATTAATTTTTGGATAAATCATATATAGCACCCAAATTTGGCTAAATCATTCAAAAAATCACAAATTTTGTAGGTAGTTGTAAATGTATCTTAAATTTAACTTTCTTCTTTTAGTATCCTGAACTTCAATTTTAGTTACAATAACATTTTAATTTCATTTATTTTGGTTGGACCTATGGTCATGTTAATAAAAAACTTACGACACCGTAACTAATATTGCTATGATTTTTTTTACATTCACAAAAAGTCAAATAAAATAATAAATTTTAGTATGTTATAAGTATAGAGTATTAGTTTCGGTTTTTGTTATGCTATTTTTTAAGCATAGAATTTTAGTTAGGATTTATTGAAATTATACTTAAGTTAGATCCCTTATAAAAATATCTCTTATAAAAATAGGTTTTATTCGTTATGGCATAATTTTATTTTTAGAGAATCATTACTTGTTAATATTATATGAATAAATAAAAAGTATTTTATTTTTTATTTTAATATTGTGTATAATTTGAAACTAATATTTTTTTAATTAAATTATATCCAATTTAATAAATAAAATATTATTTTTTATTTTAATATTTGGTACCATTTGAAACTAAGGTGCTATTGTAACTAAAGTTAAAATTCAAGGTATTAGGAGAATAAAGTTAAATTTAGGGTACAATTAAAACTACGGCATAGCTTGGGTTTTTTTTAATGATTTAGTTTCCAAATTTAAAAGGGAAATTGAACCTTATTAATATTATTATGAAAAATATAGTAGAGTAGTTTACAAAAATGAAATAATCAAAAATAAAATAAAATCACACCCTATAAGAATCTTTATAGTTAAAATAAGCTAAATAAGCTAAATTGAGACAAACTAATTCAAATATACACATTTGAATTATATCCATAGCACCTCCCTGAAGCTGGTGGCCTTTGTAATAATTAAAACTTGTTTTGAATATAATCAAAATCATTTTTATTATAATCATACTTGCATTAATTGACATGTACAATCAAAAAATTAAATCTTTTTGTACTCTTTTTGTGTTGATGCAGATACAAGAGTGACAATTTATTATGCTGGTAAGTTCCATTTCTGAAAGAGTTTTCATAAATAGGTAGTGTTTATTGGTCACTAATGATGAAACTAGGGGCGGCCAGCTGTGTTGGCCGCTCCCCTAATTTTAATTTTAATTTTTTTTTTTTTTTAAGTTGGTACTCTTTTTGTGTTGATGCAGGATTAAAAGAGATATTTGGTTTAGCTAATGGTAAGTTCCATTTCTGAAAGAGCTTTTATTAATAGATAGATTTGATTTGTCACCGATAACGGAACTGGTAGTGGCCAATTGTGGTGGCCGCCCCCAAATTTAAATTTTTTTTAAAATTTATCTTATAAAATATAGAAAATTTTAACTTTTATCTATAAAATAATGATTTTTTTTTTTCGTAGTTGGCCCCTCTAAATGTTGAGAAAATTTTTTTGCCTCTTCTAATTATTATTCCTGGCTCCGCCACTGTTGGTCACCTGTTAGTTGTTTAACTTGGTCTTTCTTTTATTTTGGCAGGGTTGATTAATGACCTGTATACTAACCGGATTCCCAATGGTAAGGATGCTTGCACTCTATTGCAAGTTTAATTGTGCTATATTTGGATAGAAAACAAGAATAATCAAACTTTGAGATTATTTCTAATTTAATTTTATTTATTTATTTATAATAACGATTGTTAATCCTTAATTCAAAAGAACAAAAAGAAAAAGATATATTATTACATTTTCTTTTGCTAATTGTTTTTCATTTTTGTTTTGTCAATGCAGGCATTTTTTTTCAATGCAGGAGGTCAATAAGATATGCCGGCATTTATTAATGTTCTTGGATGTGAGAATATTTTATATCACATTTTGGGTTGGCTATAATGATAATCTAGGGCATCATGTCAAGCTTCTCATTATTCAAATTCAAGGTTTCCAACACATAAAAATCCTTAAAGAAAGAAAGAAAAAAAAATCCTTAAAAAAATGTAATCTAATCTAATGGCTCAAAATAATCTCATAATCCTCAGTTTTCTAGCAAATAGCTCAATGTAGCTCATAAACACAAGAACATCTAATCCAAGCATGGATATGAAGATAAATGGATTAAACTTACTTGGTGAGTGAGAGACTCAAATGCAATAGAAGCTTATGAACAAGCTTGGAAGACTGAGAAAAGTCTTCAAAGGTTTGCCAAAATCCATTATCTAATTCTTTTTCATGCATTTTCATGAAAACAAAAGCCAAATGATAAAGAAAATAAGATCATGTGATTAAGAAGACTTGAACTCGAGATTTTTCACTGTTCATATTAGTGAGAACACCAACAAAAGCCAAATAATAAAGAAAATAAGCTCATATGACAATGGTTGGCTAGCTCTGAATATATTGAAATTGGAAAGTTTGAGAAGTAAAATGCCGATCGTTCCATCTTCAACGAATTAATTAATGACAAGAATAAAGCATAAACATTTTTAAGCCAATGTGTCAAGTTTTATATGGCTACATAGTTTACATCTTTAACATTTTTGTTCTTTTCCTTCTTGTAGGTTTGCTTCCTTACTTAATTTCTTACTTTGGTAAGGGAATTCCTTTCCTTATTTAGGCCGAACTTCACTGTTTTTAACTGTCAAATATTTGCTAACAATTGTTCTGTCAAATTTTTCCAGCATTATGTCGTGCACCATTAACCTTATGTGGGATAATAGGTCTTTTCTCCTTTTTGATTTATAAATGGCAAAGGAGACATTTATCAAAATATGATAATATTGAAGAGTTTCTTCAAAGTTATGATAATCTCTTCCCAATTAGATACTCTTACTCAGAAAAAGATAACAAACGGTTTCAAAGAAAAGCTGGGAGAAGGAGGTTTTGGCTCTGTATACAAAGGAAAACTCCGGAGTGGTAATTTTGCTGCAGTAAAAATGTTGAACATGTCCAAAGGTAACGGTCGAGACTTCATCAATGAAGTTGCTACAATTGGGAGCATTCGTCACATTAATGTGGTTCGTCTTGTTGGTTTTTATGCTGCGAAATCTAAACGTGCTCGTGCTCTCGTATATGATTTCATGTCTAATGGATCTCTCGAGAAGTATATATTTTCGGAAGAACGTAGCAATTTGATACCCATTGAGAAAATGTATGAGATTTCTCTAGGAGTGGTTCGCGGGATTGACTATCTTCACCGAGGCTGTCATATAAAAATATTACATTTTGATATCAAGCCACATAACATTCTTCTCAATGAAAATTTCTTGCCAAAAATTTCAGATTTCGGACTTGCAAAATTATATTCGACCGATGAGAGTATTGTGTGTCTCATAGCAGCGAGGGGAACAATGGGTTACATGGCTCCAGAACTAATCTACAAGAACATTGGAAGTATATCTCATAAAGCTGATGTGTATAGTTTTGGGATTTTGTTAATGGAAATGGTGGGAAGAAGAAAGCACTTGAATGCATTTGCTGAAGCCAAGTCTATTTTCCGACATGGGTTTATGAAACAATTTAAAAAGGAAAAGACAAAAAGACATGGAATTGGGAGATAATGTTTCAGAGGAGGAAAGTACAATGACAAAGAAGATGGCTTTAGTAGCTCTTTGGTGTATACAATTAGAACCCATTTATCGTCCATCCATGCATGAAGTTATAGACATGCTGGAAGGAGAATTTGAAAACCTAAAATTGCCTCCAAAACCTTCTTTGGTGCCACAAGACAAGGAAAAAGAGGATGTTGGTATCAACAATGGTTCTTCAGAGCTGATAACTATACCAGGTGATTGCATAGAGTCAGAGTCCGAGTCTATTAGTTTGCTTATGAATAATGCAAATTAAATTATTAGGGTTTGGTTGTTGGAATTCAACATGTCTATAATAATTCCTTTTGGTGCCACAAGACAAGAAAAAAGAGGATGTTGGTGTCAACAATGGTTCTTCAGGGCCAATAACTATACCAGGTGATTGCATAGAGTCAGAGTCCGAGTCCAAGTCCGAGTCTATTAGTTTGCTTATGAATAATGCAAATTAGATTATTAGTTTGCTTATGATAACAGTTTTTGTGCCAAATTCCTGAATAAAATGTAATATATGAATGTAAAATAAAATTGTAGCAGCTTGATTGTATGAAAATTATAATGCCATCAATCCAAAATATCATTTCGTACAACTTTTTAAACCATTGTACAATCTTTGATAACAATCTTGATTGGTGTTAAAAATTTTGGACGTCAAATTTTATTTTAGTTTGAGTTTCATATATATTAAGAAAATATAGTTATTATGATTACTTATAATTTTTCTTTATTTTATAAAAATCCATATTATTAAAATTAAATTTAACATTAAGAATCTAAGTAAATTTTAATCAACAAGTCTACGCATTAATCTAATGTAGAATCAACAATGTTAAGTGAAAAAATCTTTTAACTAATTGATTCATACAATATCATCGTTGGAACCAATTAAAATTTTAATTTTAATGCAAGAAATCAAAAAATTAAGTTATGGAATTGGTTAATATTAATATCAAACGCAACAGTTTTATTCGTAAAAATGCACATTAAATGAAAATAAAAATTATTTTATTCTAAAAAGAATAGAAAATAGTACTATAATTTAAACAAATGAAAAGAAGTAAGGCAAGAATTTTAGAATGGAGAAAACATTATTTATTATATTATAAAATTTGTTTGATCTCTCAAAGATCTCTCCAAAAATTTGGATTTTAAAAGTTTCATTAGAAATAAAAATTAAGACGAAAAAATTAAATTAAAATAAAAAATGACCCGAGACAGAAGAAAGTAGAAATGGGGTGATGTGGCCCCTGCGTACGATAAAAAAATAATTTGGTCTAAAGGCGGGATTTGACTTTTTTTTTATTTTTATATATATATATATATATATATTATATAATATATGATATATATTATATATATATATTATATATATATTTAAGAGGAGAAAACCACATTTCCCTTCCTCTTTCTCTGTAAAGATAATGAAAATGGAGAAAGATAGCTAGCCTATGTTAGAAACCCAAAAGGCCTCGTCGTTTTGCGGTTCTCAATTCTGATCAGAAATCCGTCATTCCTGGCCAATCCCGTCATTCCTGCCTCTTCTTTGTCCCTCAAATCTGTAAAAATCTGAACTTTCTCTTTTCGTTTCCCCTTTTTTTTTGTACTTCAATTCTTTTTATCTGTTATGCTGTTATTGAAGTAGTAACCGATGTTAATTGTTCGTGATGGTTGTTGATTTTGTTTTATCCAGGTGTTACTGGACGATTGGTGGCTGGTTAAGTCAGAGAACAAAGGGATTGCTGTTGCTGGGTTTGCTTTAAGCGAGTATGATTTATTTATTGCTTGATTGTTTTACTTAAGTTGTTCTCTGGTCGAGAATTGATGGGCAAAAATTCTGATCTAATCTCGAAAGTTTCTAAAGCCAAAATGAAGAATTGGGTTTAATTTGAAGTAAGATTTGTGGAAGTTGGACGGAAGTGTCTTCCTTTTTTGTTTCTTAAGTGAAATTTAATTGAAACTTTTAATATTCTTAACATTTAATACTGTAAGCTATAACCCAACAAGGATTTTAAGCAAGCTGAGGCCTTCTGCTACAATTTCAAGTTTTTCCCCTCAATCTGTGATGAATTTGCATTTCCAATGGTCTTTTTTTTTTTTTTTTTTCGTTTTATTGATGGATAAAGAAACAATCATGATAGTAACCCTGCTCCTATTCAATAACACTAATATCGACCTTCCGCGCAGCCAATGCGGGGATTACTATGATGGTTTACTAATTACAGAGAGTATATGCAAAAAGGGAAAAAGAAAAGAAAGAAAGAAACGGAAACATCCATGTTAGACTACTTAGAAGATATAGAAATAGTGGTTGGTCACTTTCTTGGTGCCTAAAATTCTAGTTTTTGCAACCTACCTTGGGACCTTTTGATCCTTGTGAACGTTATCTGAACCTTGGGTTCTTATTTTGGTATGGCCTCTCTTAATTTTAGCTTCTTTAATCTGATTGCAAATAATTCTTCAAGATTGTAAAGAATTTTAGGGTTTGTTCTTTTACTTGTATTTGTATCAAAGCTTAGGAGCAAGACTCTTTTACTCTGCACCAATATCCAGGAGAATCAATGCCACCACTCTTGAAACCAGGGATGGAATCACAATTGCATTCACAATTGCAATTAAACAGGTCTTCATAAATAGGTCCCGAACGCTTCAAAGTGGCTTTTCCATTCTGCGTATTGTTGCCTTTTTTCTCCTGAGAAAATATTCTTTATCCTTCTTCACCTTGTTCTCTGTGGCTTTAAGCAGTAATGTATAACAATATTTAATTCCATAAAATAATGAATTCTAGTAAAAATTTCACCTGTTTTCATTCTGAGAAATCGTATTGCTTTCAGAAATTTCTAGTAATTTGATTTTACAGAACCAAAAATTTTGATTAGAACCAAATAAATGCCTAATAAGGTTGTCCTGAACTTTACAAGGTGCAAAATCTAACTAGAGTATGCTATTTGCCTATTTAACCTTTTTAGATCAAGCCCAATTGGAATTGTTGATCTCTTTTTAGATCAAGCCCCAATTGAATTGTTGATCTCTACAGGTTTGCAATCATTTCCAGATTGGGTTTCCATTTGACTGGGAAGGGTGCCTTGCTCAATTTTATGTGGAAGAATCTGCTAAAAGAGATTCTACAAGTAGAAAAAATGTGCCTAGATTAAATCCAAATACTTACCTGTCATCCATGGATGAGCTCCCAGCAACAAGCATACGTGATCTTGCTATGCGCCTTGCTGAGGATTCTGAAAATCTTAGTTGTGATGATATACTGGGAAAGTTGTCAGACACATTCCAACATACTCCAATGTACCATTCAAACTTGGAAAGTGAAGGTCCACAAGTGACTGCAAATTCTGAAGTGGATCAAACTGTGAAAAAGAAAAATCATAAGAAGGCAAAGACTTATCGGATGCACAAAGATTTTGGTGGAAATTTGAATGAAAAAGATATAGAAACAGAAGAACTTACCCCAAGTACAGGTGTTGTAACAAGAAGTAGGTACAGATCAAAGAATATGAGTAGCAAGCAGGAAGAGAATCTCCAATCCAAATCTCCAGTCCAGTGCAGAAATTTCAGAAACAAGCCCGAAAAATGTCTTTCATCGAACTTTTCCCTTAACTTTTCCCTTGAAAAGGTGAAGTTACTTGATTCAGATTTAACCCCAGCCTTAATAAAAAAGATTTGTCCTGAAGGAGCTCAATCAAACTTGAATAGCAGTTCTGGCACAGTCAAAGGTCTGGTATGGCCAAATAATCCGTAAGAACTATAACTGGGTATGAATAATTTTTCAGCGTAAAAACTTAATGTAAGTTCAAAATTAAGAATGGTAAAGCAAAATGCTTCCACTTCTGATTAACATTGAGTTTTAACAATGAAAAAAAAACTTTCCTTTTTCCCCTTTATCCCTAGTTCTAGTTTTTTTTTCATTTGTAAGCGTTTTACAGGACTTATATGCCTAATTGGGCCATGATACTGTGCATTTGGTGCATTTGGTTATGTTGCTTTTGCTTTTACAATTAGTTTTTGACCAGAAACAACCAGAGAAGATACATAAGAGAGGATTTGCAAGATCACCCACAAGTTACATCATAATTTGGTATGGTTATTATATATAAAACATCAACTAAAATCCAAAAACAGAAGTGATAGGAGCAGCAATCTTTTATTCTACCCAAGCCATTTTCCTTAGGTGCAAGACATATTCATAAACTTTGAGTGGGTCAGTGAGGGATTTTGAAACACTCTCTCTTTGCCCCTTTGAACCCATTTCATACGCTTTGGGACTTGAACTTCTATGTTGAATTCTCCACAGGTTGCATAGGAAAAAAACCAGGAGAAACAGGAAATTAGTGCTATATCCATAAATCCAAAGGTTTCACCTCCAAATTAAAGGCTTTCCCCTGAGCTCTCCTTCCAAAATTTTCAAGCAGTCTCTTCCTTCCAAAGAAGGTTTAAATTAGTGCTATATCCATAAATCCAAAGGGTTCACCTCCAAATTAGCTGCCTCTTTGACTTCTCCTTTGGTCATTAGTATCCTCTTGCCACTATCATATACCTGCATCATATTTTCACATGCATAACTTTGAGAAATTTTATTATCATACTACTGTGAGTTTTTTTAAAGAGAATACATACGAGACAGTGATATGATACACTCTTTATTAATAAATTTAAGCTCTTAATATACCTTTTTGTCTAGAAAATCAGCCCAAACCCTTTATTGCGGTCAAAGGTAAGAATCGGATGGCAACAAAGGAAGGTTGTGTTGATTCCATGTGTCATCAATGGAGGATGATGAGAGATTCACAAATAGGTATTTCCATTGTGGAATGAGGACAGGGACCATTTTATGACAGCCAAAGGGCTCTCATTTCAGAACATGTTTTCTTGCTTGTATTCATATTGATCCCTTTTGGCGTCAGCCAGAAATCTTGTGCTGCACTTCTGCATTCCAAAAAGAAACTGCAAATAAAATCCAAAAGGATCACTTCTTCAGGCCATTTATAATTACTATTTCAAAATGCCCATTAACGAAGCTCTAAAGTCTCTTTTTATAGCTGAAGTATGTTCAATTGGTCCACTCCTTTGTGATTCATTATAATTGTACCACTCGTAGAATTTATTCATTTATAATTGTACACTCGTAGAATAAAATACTAACCTGAAGCCGTTAGTCTTTTTCTTCATCTCCAAGTTCTCCTTTTTAAAATTATTTTTCTCATACATCAACTGTCGTATTTTCAATTCTAGGCAGAATATTAATTGTTAAAGAATGATGTATTGTGATGAAAATATTTTTATTGTCGTTATTTAATGGGTTATATAGAAAAATCAGTTATCTACTTGAAAATAATAAAAAGTGATTTTCACTTAATATTTAATCAATTTTATTTTTTAATTTCAAGTTTTCAATAAATACGAAAAAAAAAAATTAAAAATTGCCCAACAACTTGCAATTTCCGATCAAAAAGACTTGTTGGGTTAGTTCTCGTATCATTACTCATAAGAAATACTCTTAGAGTAGAATGCATAACTTACCAACAGTCCATTTATTATTATTATTATTTGGGAAATCTAATTAAATACCATAAAATCAAAAACTTAATTAAATACATTCTGAATATGTAGATTATAAATAAATATTTGTTAAAAGGCAACTTGTACTAGAAATCCACCTAAAATGAAATTTCAAATTTTACTGGCATTTTTGTGTAGAACTAGAGTGGTTGGTTTTGATCTTAAAAACAAATGATGTTTTTTCACAATTACTGGTAATGAGTGAAAAGTTTCAGGAATTTGTTCCATTCATGATTTTTCTTTGTTATCTCGGACAACAAATAAATAAATTTTCTTTGTTAGATTTTTTTTCATTGAATAAAATTAATTGAAAGAGAAGAAATTAGAAGAAATAGACTTAATAGGAAATCAAAAAATTGAACCAAAAATCAAAATCCAAATTGTTTTTTTGTTTTTTTCCCCTATTTTAATTAGGGAATCCTATTTTAATTAGGAATTATTAGAAATGACATTATTGGATAAATTTTTCTTTCCTATTTTAATTAAAAATTATAATCCTAATTAGCAATTATGAGGATTATCAATAATATTAATACATAAATGTTTATGTGGGTATGTGTGTGTGCGGTTCGAAGCCCCTCAAAAACAATAAGGTTCGAAGATATAACTGAATAACCCTCGATGTTTCTCTCTCTCCCTAAATCTCTAGATCCCAAAAACAATAAGGTTCAGGTGTGCTTAAAGAGGCTGTGGTTTTTGGTTGAAGGGTTTAAGGTGCCATCTGGGTTTCTGCGTGAAGCTGAAATTAGGATTTAGGACACCAGTAATTGTTAGAAATTCAGCCTTTTCATTATCTAATCCCACTTAATTCTCAGTGAGGCGTTCTCTTTGGTGGATATTCTATAGCTGCCTAAAGCTGTGTTTGGTGATACTTTTATTGATAGTAAAGCTGTGTTTGGTGATACTTTTATTGATAGTATGATTACCAGTGCAAAACGATTGTGCTTTATTGATAATATGATTACTACTTGTGCAAAAGGATTGTCCTTTTCGGAACCTAGAGGTGTTTTTTTCGCGGATAGAGGTCGGATCAGTTGCTTTAAGGCACGAGTAAAGGGTTCATCAACGGCCTGCATAGTTGCGCTTATAAATGAGGAAATACGTGCCATTAATCTAGGAGACAGTGGATTCATGGTGGTTAGAGATGGATGCACAGTGTTCCAATCCCCAGCACAGCAGCATTGCTTTAATTTTCCATACCAACTAGAGAGTGGCAATGAGGGTGATCTACCAAGCTCTGGCCAGGTATTCATATTTCCTATTTCTCCGGGTGACGTAATTATTGCCGGAACAGATGGATTATTCGACAACTTGTATAACTAGGTTACCACTGCTGTTGTTGATGCCCTAAGAGCTGGCTTAGGGCCTCAAGTAACAGCTCAGAAAATTGCAGCTATGACAAGTCAACGAGCACTGGATGAGAACCGACAGACACCTTTTTCTACTGCTGCTTAACGTGCTGGGTTCAGCTACTATGGTGGTAAACTTGATGACATCACTGTTGTAGTGTCGTATGTAACAAGCTCTAACAATTTGTGATCTTGTCTTCTCCAATGTGGCTGAACCACCAATTGTTGGTATGTTGATGCACTTCTTTGTAGTGGGTGTTGAGGTATTAATTTTAACTTTTGTTAATTTTAATTCGTATCAGTGTTAGTATCAGTGTTAGTTGAGGTATTGTTGTTTTTGTTAACAGTTTGGTAATAATATTGGTACGTTAATTTTAGTGTTCTGATTCCTTGTGTTAATTTTTTTGGCTACTCTGTTGGTGAGTATTAACTTTTGAGGATTCCTTGATACACTTGCATTTCGGAACTTGATGAGTTTAGTATGGTAACTGTGTTATTTTTCAGGGAACAAAATATTTTTCTACAATCAGAATGCTTATGGGAGGTCTTAGAGTTAATAAATTTATTGTGAATTTAACATTCCTTTAGAGTTTAGAAGTTTAGAACTGCAAGAATTAAATAGCTCTAACCAACATGGTTCTTCAATTGATGATGGTAACATAAATATGAAATGTAATTGTATATTTTTGCTTCAGAGTTTGTAAGTATCCAATGTATCTTTCAACAAATGATGATGTCATAAGCCATTTCCTGGTAGAAAAATTGGATCTTTCTTGCTAAAATGAATTGTGTTGATCTAGCTAATGAAAAAGTAAAAATCTTATGTCATACAATTTCCTTGCTGAACCTAAAGTTAAGAATTTCTTTGCATCTGATAAGGACCCTGAAACACTTGTTTACAGGGTTATTCTTCTGTCCATATTTCTCAACATCTTTCCCTGGGGGAAAAAAATCTTTCTCAACCTCCAGTTTGAGAATTTTGCCAATTAAAAAGCTGTTCATATATTTTCTTGGTCATTAGTGAGTGAAGTTCAACAAGTGTGTCAGGTTCTGACAGGGACCCTGAAACACTTGTTTACAGGGTTATTCCCCTGTCCATCTTTCTCAACATCTTTCCTTGGGGGAAAAAAAGTCTTTCTCAACATCCAGTTTGAGAATTTTGCCAATTAATGCCTTGGGGGAAAAAAAGTCTTTCTCAACATCCAGTTTGAGAATTTTGCCAATTAATGCTCTTAAGATTCAATAAAAAGCTGTTCATACATTTTCTTGGTCATTATGAGTGAAGTTCAACAAGTGTGTCAGGTTTCGGATCAGTGTTATAAGTGATAGTCATTTAGAAGCTTAAAGAACTTCAATTGCAGCATGAATTTGTGGTCAAAGTAGGGGATGCTGCCTCCTTATGGGCAAAATAAATATTAAAGGCTAAGTAGCTTGAGCAGGAAAAACACGATATAATATGACATGAAATATGACTCTTTTTTTTTAAACAGCAAAACACAAAAGGTTGATGAAATGTTGTACTAAGAATATATATTTTGTATTTATAATACTGGGATAAATTTATTGCTATAAATGTTACACCACGGCATTAATTTCAATAATCTAGTATTGGTTTAACGTCTATAAATGTTACACCATGACATTAATTTCACGATATAATTTATTGGTGAAATGTACTGCATTTTGCTTTTGTGAATTTAAAATCTTGTATTGGTTTGTCAGTAATGTGTTAGTTTAATTGATTGCATGATCAGAAAAATAAAGCATGATCAGAAAAATAAAAGTTGGGTTTTGTGAAGTAGTAATTGAAATCCATCTTAAAATTTTAAATTGTGAATTAACCTCTACAGTTTACATAGGGTTGCCAAAATTAAAGAAATATAGCGAAACTTTTTTGAAGTGTTAAGATGTTTCCAAGAGTTTTAGTGTCTGGAATGTGTGCAACATGCTAAAAATGTCTTCATGTTTCCTTATGTATTTGATTATCAGCTTCTTATGGCTGATTGCAGTGGTCCAGACTCCAGAGATGTTATTTGTTTGTTGTTGCCACAGTTGTTGATGGAGCCAAAAAAGGGTGAATTCAATATCTCATGATGTGGTTTGCTTTGTAGCACACAATTGAGTTCTAAGTAGTTGTATCCTATCATTTTTGTTTTTGGCTTCTATTTCCTATACTGAAAGGCTTGTATCTTGGAAATAAGAAAAATAAATGGAGTTTAATAATTGATCTTATTTGAGAAATAAAAACCATATAGAAAGTGCCCTAGTTTCTCAACTATAGGATGTATGCTATATCCTATAATATTAGTTATATTCTCAGTCACTGTCTTTGACCTTTAGGTTTGCTACTTCTTAATTCTTAATTCACCTTTTTCGGTGAATTCACGAGCTGGATGCACAAACTCGATCGTGAATTTTTTTTTTAAAAAAAAAAAAAAAAAAAAAAAAAAAAAAAAATCAGAAGCACCTGCAAAACCTATAAAGCTTCATGTGGATTAATCAGGGAAATAATTTGCAGTTTGCAAAATAGATTAGTATTTTTTTTCCCTCAGGATCATTCTTTCGTTTTGCATGAACATATATTTGAAAAGTTGGAAAAAACGGAGGTTCTTCTAGAAAATCTGAAACTGCATGTTTTGATGCTACTTTGCCATATAACTAACCAAATATAACTAACTAAATTTTCTTCTGTATTGTTTTCTATTTATCTCAGTTTTTATCAGGCTATGAGGGTTCCTGCACCGAAATTTCTTCTAAAATGCAGCCCGTAGCTTTTGCTCACGAGCAGAATGCTTCCTCCCCTCAGCTTGCTGAAAGTATCACTCTCCAAAAATTTAACAACCTCAGAACTGACAAAGTCAATAATGCAGGCCATGCTGATAAAATATCAGCATGTTCTTGGAATACATTTACTAAAAATTCTGCCAGTGATTCTACAACTACCCTACATTGTCTGCGATTTTAGCAATGGATTCTGATACATGAGCATCCGTGCTGAAGAAAATGCATAGATTTGGCAGAAACAATGGCCGCATTGTCTAAAAATGACTCATGTGGCTTTTTGCTCTATGTGCAGCGGTTGATACTCCTTTATAGGCTGATACTAGCTAGTGCTTCTCTACGGAGCCTGCTCGCTACGGAGCCTGCTCGAAAGTGTGCTGCGAGGTCTGCACTAATAGGAGAATAGACTTGTCGTCCAATAAGAAGTATGACAATGGGCCAATATGTTTCCCTTAATGACCCTTTTCCTTTAGCTTCGTCACAGCTTCCTTGAAGTAGACTTCGCAATAGACTTGTTTTTTTTGTGTTACCCCACATAATTCTGAGACTTTATACATGGGGCATTGACTTAAAAGGAAGACTTATGGGGCATTGACTTAAAAGGAAGACTTGTGGTGTGCAATGTTAATTGAAAGACTTGGCATTGATGTCAAACCACCTTTGCCGTCTTAATTGAAAGCTGAGAGAAGTCGCTTTGAAGTTTCCAGTGACGACCAAGGTAATCCTGCATCACAAATTTAATGATCAATTCTCTCTGTCTCATCAGTTCACATAATGATCAGCAGATACTCAAACCTTCTTTTTCTAGTTATAATTTTAATAATACTCCATCTCCAAAGTTGTTGTGCTAGAAAAAGCAAAAGCAATAATGATCAGTATAATACTCCATCTCCAAAAGTTGTTGTGCTAGAAAGACAAAAAACAATAATGATCAGCTTGGCACCACGTTTCGTGCGGCGATAAATCCATAACATAAAGCTACCCTTTTCGCACTTAACACTTGATCCGACACCTGCAGGCCAACCAAAACCCTTCAGGCTTGTTTGGGTTTTTGAAAACAACCTTACAGTAGTATTTACTTGATTTCAGTAAATATTACGTTTCTGTCTATTAATTACAATAACTTCACCCAATTTCGATAGTAGATGCCCCTTTATCCAAAAGGATAATCTTGCTCCTCTTTCCTCGCCATTCTTCTTGAACCTTTCTATAAATCATTGCGGGCTTTTATTCCATATGTTTATGGGGTTCGGGCCAGGAGTTGCTGATTAATGGTATGCCTGAATACTTATCAAGCGATAGTTTTGGTTGAACTGTGAACATCGAATTACTGGATTCCTTCCACACTTTATGTGGATGGCTCATCCTTGCATCAAGTAGCACTATTATTCAGGTGAGGTTATTATTATTAATTTTAGCCAGTCCTAAGTCCAATTAACATTTAACAAAAAGAAAGCAAGGCCCTAAAAGCGTTAATTTATAACGTGCAATATTATATTAAATTCCAATTCATCTTATTAATTCAGGTATTGGTATTAAATGCTTGGCTCTCACTCTACTTATGTGATGGATTTGGTGATTCTTGCCTTGTTGAGCAGGATAGTTATGCATCTTTTGTCTGCCAAAAAGAAGTTTTCTGCCAAAAGAAGCGATGGACATTTCATATCTGGATGTTCACCGCATTATGTCATATGGGTTTGAGATGTCATGGTTTAGGGCTTGCTGTGACAACTATGAGGAAAACCGCTGCAACCTTGACATTGCCAACATTACGAAATACTGTTATGGTACGTTTCAATTCCATGGCCTCCATTTCAAGTTGGGTTTGAATGGTTATTATGATTGTAAATCAGTTCTGGTTCAAAACTGAATTGTGACTCGTTCAACCAATAAAAAATTGCTTTTTGGGTGATCTTTTTTATCCCCTATAGTCATTATATGTCTTTGGGTGATCTTTTTTATCCCCTATAGTCATTATATGTCTTTCTTAGTTTTATATTTACTTGCAAAGAGAAAAAATAGTAATGAAAAGTATTTTTGACATGAAATTTTAGTTGGATTCAAAGCCAGTCTTGCCTAGTGCGTGAGTGAGATTTGATTTATGGCATAAGAAGATGAACATTTTTTGAAAACAACTATGTGGTTCTATCAGATGGTGAAGAAGCTGAAATAGCCTTCGAAACAGAAGAACCTCAAGCACAACCTATTAATTTTTAATCTTTGTCTTGTTGGTGGTCTCCTAATACATAGAATAGCTCGATCCTACTTACTGAGCTTATTTAATAAATAAACTGAACTCGGAGTTTTAATGAAACTTTAGCTTATGAGCCAACTTGACATCGTTCATTTTTCTTTGCGGGAAACTGTAATAAAGTTGTGATCAAACTCGATCTCTAACTAGTAAAGCTGGAGCAAGCTCTTAGACTATAACCAACGCGAAAAGGAAAAAAAAAAAAAAAAATCATTTGATATTTGTCTTTTTCATTTTTATTTTGTGTTTTCATTTTGTATATATAAACATAATTAATTTCATCTTTGCTATATTGGAATAGGAATGTCCAGGGCTTCGCGTCAAGATTGATCCGCGGTGTAATGAGTTGTTTATATGCGATGTATTATCCGATTTCGTGAGTATAGGAAAATGTTATATCAATGAGCATAAAAAAAAAAAAAAAAAAAAAAAAAAAAACGAAAAGAAACGGTAAAAAAAAAAAAAAAAAAAAAAAAAAAAAAAGAAAAAAACTATATATCAGTCACAACCGAAATTTACTAAAAATTGTTTTCACTTACTCCTATTTTTTTTTTTCCATTAAATGATTAAACTATTCTTGTTTTTAGAAAAATATATTCTTTTTTTTTTTTATTTGGATCCACAAACCAAATCAAGGTAAGACATTCTCTTCTCTTTATACCAATATAAATTTATAATCTGCAGAGTCCCCATCACTTACTTTCCATTTATCGTGACAACTTCCTCCTCCTTTTCTTTTCTTTTCTTTTTCTGGGCAGTGCTGCTTCTGAGTGTACGCTACCTGGGTAGGAAAGATATTTATGAACGTTATGGTGGTAAGAAACGTTCTACATGTGTTTTTACATTTAAAGGTTTCCCATAGCAAGGATAGGTAGAAAGAAAAATAATACAGAGAGAATTTTATATGAATCTCTCTCCAATTTGAATTACATAAACTTCAATTTGCAGTACAAATTACTTATAAATTAATTTTTTATATAATTATTGTCCCAAATTTACAACAAACAACTACAAAGACCAAATTTGTAGCTAAAGAATGAAATAATAATTTTTATTATTTACTTTTAATAAAATAATAGTTTGTTATTTTACTTTTTTTTTTTTTTTTTTGGTTAAAAATTGACCTTTTTGCTCATTTGAGATGTAAAAATTAGGGATAATGCTTACATAAAAATTAAGTTTTTGGAATAAATCATACAATAGCACCCAAATTTGTCTAAAATCATTATATTGTTGGTTGGACCTGATGGTCATGTTAATAAAAAAAATGTACACACCAATAACTAAATATTCTATGAATTTTTTTTAAATTCATAAAGAAAGTGCAAGTAAAATAAGAAATATTACGTAGTTACAAGGTACTAGAGTATTAAGTTTTTGATGTTTTGTTTGCCATTTTAAGCATATAATTTTAGTTTTTTGTTTTGCCATTTTTTAAGCATATAATTTTAGTTAGTATTTATTGAAATTATACTCAAGTTAGATCTCTTATAAAAATAGATTTTATTCATTATGACATAATTTTATTTTTAGAGAATCATTACTTGTTGTTAATATTATAAGCTAAATTGAGACAAACTATCCATAGCACCTCCCCGAAGCTGGTGGCCTTTGTAATAATTAAAACTTGTTTTGAATATAATAGGGTAATGTAATCAAATTCATTTTTATTATAATCATATTTGCATTAATTGACATGTACAATCAAAAAATTAAATCTTTTTGTATTCTTTTTGTGTTGATGCAGGATTAAAAGACATATTTGGTAATGCGAATGGTAAGTTCCATTTCTGAAAGAACTTTCATTAATAGGCAATGTTGATTGGTAACTAATGACGACGGAACTAGGGGTAGCCAACTGTGGTGGCCGCTCCCCTAATTTTAATTTTTTTTTTTAAAGTTACCATATAAAATATATAAAATTTTAAGTTTTACTCAAAAAACAATGATTTATTTTCAATGTTGCCCCCTCCCAATGTTAGAAAAAAAAAAAATTTACCTCTTCTAATTATTTTGTCTGGTTCCGCCACTGTTGGTGACCTGTTATTTGTTTAACTTGGGCTTTCTTTTATTTTGGCAGTGTTGATTGGTCACCTGTATACTAACCTCATTCCCAATGGTAAGGATGCTTACACTCTATTGCAAGTTTAATTGTGCTAGATTTGGATAGAAAACAAGAATAATCAAACTTCGAGATTATTTCTAATTTAATTTAATTAATTTATTTATTTTGTTTGAAAGAATAATTTAGAATAATATAATAACGGTTGTTAATCCTTAATTCAAAAGAACAAAAAGAAAAAGATATATTATTACATTTTCTTTTGCTAATTGTTTTTCTTGCTAATTGTTTTTCATTTTTGTTTTGTCAATGCAGGCAGGTCAATAAGATATGCCGGATATTATGTCTTGGGTGAGAATATTTATATCACACTTTTTTTTTTGTTTTTTTTTTGTTTTTGGATGGGTTGGCTATAATGATAATCTAGGGCATCATGTCAAGCTTCTCATTATTCAAATTCAAGGTTTCCAACACTTAAAAATCCTTAAAGAAAGAAAGAAAAAGATCCTTAAAAAAATGTAATCTAATCTAATGGCTCAAAGTAATCTCATATTCCTCAATTTTCTAACAAATAGCTCAATGTAGCTCATAAACACAAGAACATCTAATCTAAGCATGGATATGAAGATAAATGGATTAAACTTACTTGGTGAGTGAGAGACTCAAATGCAAGAGAAGCTTATGAACAAGCTTGGAAGACTAAGAAAAGTCTTCAAAGGTTTGCCAAAATCCATTCTTTTTCATGCATTTCCGTGAAATCAAAAGCCAAATGATAAAGAAAATAAGCTCATATGATTAAGAAGATTTGAACTCGAGATCTTTCACTGCTTATATCAATGAGAAGACCAACCAGACCATTCCTAGTTGGCTAGCTGTAAATATATTGAAATTGGAAAGTTTGAGAAGTGAAATGCGAATCGTTCCATGTTCAACTCGTTCCATGTTCAACGGATTAAATAATGACAAGAATAAAGCACAAACATTTTTAAGCCAATGTGTCAAGTTTATATGGCTAAATTTTTTACATCTTTTAACTTTTTTTGTTTTTTTCCTTCTTTTAGGTTTGCTTCCTTATTTAATTTCTGTCTTTGGTAAGGGAATTCCTTTCCTTATTTTTATTTTAGCGAAACTTCACTGTTTTAACTGTCAAATAATTGCTAAACAAAACTGTGCTGTCAATTTTTCCAGTGTATGATCGCATTAACCTTATGTGGGATAATAGGTCTTCTCTCCTTTTGGATTTATAAATGGCAAAGGAGACATTTATCAAAATATGATAATATTGAAGAGTTTCTTCAAAGTTATGATAATCTCTTCCCAATTAGATACTCTTACTCAGAAATTAAGAAGATAACAAACGGTTTCAAGATAACAAACGGTTTCAAAGAAAAGCTGGGAGAAGGAGGTTTTGGCTCTGTATACAAAGGAAAACTCCGGAGTGGTAATTTTGCTGCAGTAAAAATGTTGAACATGTCCAAAGGTAACGGTCGAGACTTCATCAATGAAGTTGCTACAATTGGGAGCATTCGTCACATTAATGTGGTTCGTCTTGTTGGTTTTTATGCTGCGAAATCTAAAGTGCTCTCGTATATGATTTCATGTCTAATGGATCTCTCGAGAAGTATATATTTTCGGAAGAACGTAGCAATTTGATACCCATTGAGAAAATGTATGAGATTTCTCTAGGAGTGGTTCGCGGGATTGACTATCTTCACCGAGGCTGTCATATAAAAATATTACATTTTGATATCAAGCCACATAACATTCTTCTCAATGAAAATTTCTTGCCAAAAATTTCAGATTTCGGACTTGCAAAATTATATTCGACCGATGAGAGTATTGTGTGTCTCATAGCAGCGAGGGGAACAATGGGTTACATGGCTCCAGAACTAATCTACAAGAACATTGGAAGTATATCTCATAAAGCTGATGTGTATAGTTTTGGGATTTTGTTAATGGAAATGGTGGGAAGAAGAAAGCACTTGAATGCATTTGCTGGCGCATGTAAGCCAAGTCTATTTTCCTGACATGGGTTTATGATACAATTTAATAAAGGAAAAGCATGGAATCGGGAGATCATGTTTCAGAGGAGGGAAGTACAATGACAAAGAAGATGGCTTTTAGTAGCTCTTTTGGTGATTACAATTGGAACCCATTTATCGTCCATCCATGCATGGAGTTAAAGATGGCTGGGAAGGAGAATATGCTGGAAGGAGAATTTGAAAACCTAAAATTGCCTCCAAAACCTTCTTTGGTGCCACAGGATAAGAAAAAAGAGGATGTTGGTATCAACAATGGTTCTTCAGAGCCAATAACTATACCAGGTGATTGCATAGAGTCAGATTCCGAGTCTGAGTCTATTAGTTTGCTTATGAATAATGTAAATTAGATTATTAGGGTTTGGTTATTGGTATTCAACATTTCTATAATAATTCCTTTTTTCCTGAGAAAACTGCGAACCAAGTTAGTTAGTTTCAAAAAAGAAAAACCAATCCATAAGTTTTAAACCATAAGTTGATTCCACACGTTGGTTGTAACAATCTTGGTTGGTGTTAAAAATTTTGGGATGTCAAATTTTATTTTAGTTTGAGTTTCAAATATCAAGAAAATATAGTTATTATAATTAATTATAATTATTATAATTTTTCTTTATTTTTTAATAAAAATCCATATTATTAAAATTAAAATTTAACATTAACAATCTAATTAAATTCTAATTAATAAGTCTTCGCATGAATCTAATGTCGAATCAACAATGTTCTCTTAATTAATTGACTCATACTAAATCATTGTTGAAACTAATTAAAATTTAAATTTTAATGCAAGAAATCAAAAAATTAAGTTATGGAATTGGTTAATATTAATATCAAACGTGCACATCTTGTCTGCCATGTGCACGTGATGTGCACGTGCACGTCTTTTACTTCCTCTGCCATGTGCACGTCTTGTCTGCCATGTGCAAGCCTAGGACGCTTTGAAACAATGAATCTTTGTCTTCCACTCACACGCCTTGGATGCTGTCCACTATGTGCACGCCTTGTTCTTTGTCGCCATGAAACCATAACCATCTTCCATCTTTTCCAGATCTTCAAGTTTCCATCAACCCAACGAAACCATAACTCTTTCCTCTTGCCTGAATTTGTTTCCCCGTTTCAGCCAGTGGAAGATAATTTTGTAATTTTGCTCACCTTTCTATAGATGAGGAGGAGGAGGAGACTGGGCTTTCCCTTCCTACTCCAACTCATAACCCTCCAGTTGATCCGTATAGTTTCTGTTTGGTTGGCATGTTTCTCATTTATAGCAGAGTCAACTTTGAGGCTATGAAACACACACTAGCAGATCTCTGGCATCCTTTAGGCGGAATGGATATTCAGGAAGTGGGAGCCAAACGTTTTCTCTTCTGTTTCTACAATGTGGTTGATATGGACAGGGCTATCTCCGGTGGTCCTTGGTTCTTTAATAAACATCTTTTTGTTTGGCAACAGATTCAAAGTGGTCAAAGTGGTGAAAACCCTTTGGAGATCCCTTTATTGTTTGCTGACATTTGGGTCCAAATTAGAGATGTTCCGAATGGAATTGTGGATGAAGGAACAGCTCGAGCGTTCGGTGATTTCCTTGGATCTTATCTGGAATATGATTTAAGACATCTATGGAGGCCGTTTTTGAATTCCTTCGCATCAAAGTGAAACTGGATATTCGGAAGCCTCTCAAACATAAAAAGAAATTAATTGCTCTGTCTGGAGAGGTTTATTATGTTCGTTTTCAATATGAGAAGGTTTTCACGATTTGCTTTCTATGTGGCCGCATTGGTCATACAGATAGTGGCCGCACCTCTCCAGACAGAGCAAATTTTAAGGTTTCCTTATCTTTAATGCAGCAATGTTTGATATCAGTGTCTGTTTGGCTCGAATATCTTCAGGTCCTTACCCTAGGCGTGTATAAACCAACCAATGGGAGTGATTGGAAGGCCCGGAAACATGATTAGTTGGGCGCTGAGGTGGGAAATGATAAGTATCTGTTGCTCCGATGAAGCGGCATGGAGCAGAGACACAGAGTTCCTGGATCCGTCCTTTGGTGTCGCTGAAAATTCAGCCACAAATTGGACACTTGACATTCGGACATCCGTTTTGGAAGGAAGATACACTGTGGCTGAGAACTTTTCTAACTCCTTTATGGTACATCTTCAAATCTTGACGAAGGCAAACTCCGATAAAATGGAAGATGATTTTTTTTTGAAAGAGGGCGGAGTTTGAAAGATGTGGCTTTATGTATCAGTAAAAAAGACAACGAATTATTCCTACAACTCATAGCACCGCTGCAGTTTCTAATCAAAATGATTCTGCATCTGGTACCACTTCGACCATCAATCAGTCGGAGAAACATACATCAGTCGATCCTGTGAGGTAGGATGGCCGGAAGCAATGAAGATCCTTTCATGGAACTGTCGAGGACTTGGCAACCCTCGGACAGTACAAGCTCTATGTGACTTTGTTGCAATTTACCGCCCTATTATTTTGTTCCTTTGTGAAACTTTAGTTCATAAAATGAAGCTTGTTGACCTTTGTTCTTTGTTGCATTTGATTCTTGCTTTTCTGTGGATTGTATTGGGAGAAGTGGTGGTCTTGGTTTGCTTTGGAAGAGTGAAGTTGATGTTTCCATATCTTGTTACTCAAATAATTTTATTGATTGGAAGTTTGAATTGTTTTCCATATCTTGTTAACTTCAAATAATTTTATTGATTTAAATGTTTCTTTATTCCTGGTATTTCCCATGGCGGCCCTAACTGGTTTTTTTTTATGGGCTTTCCCAAAAAGATGTAGGAAGGCAGGACCTCCTTTAGGACTTTGATTAAAAAATTTATCCCGTAGACATTAATGGTCCTTGTTTTATGTGTGTTGGGGATTTTAAATAATCTAACTGGCTGATTTTCAGAGCAAGATTGGTGGGCAATCAAATATCCTAGGATACTTGTTGAATGGTTTTAAGGAGGCGGTAGTGGCAGAGTGATTTTTATGTGATATTCCTGCTAAAAGGCTATAAATTTACTTTGGTATTATAAAAAGATTTGGCCGAATTACCACCGTGAGAACTTGACCGTCGCCACCCGTGAGAAACTTGACCGTGCTATGGCTAATAATTGCTGGTCCTGTTTATTCCAGGAAGCTTCTACGACTACGTTGGTTTCACCAACATCGGACCATGACCCATTGTTAGTTTCGACGGTTGAGGGTGAGGTACCTCCTAGGAAGGAGAGGAGGTTCCGTTTTGATAATGCATGGCTTCATGACGAAGATCTGGTTGGAATAGTTCGAGACAGTTGGTCCTCGTCCATGGGGTCTGATATAATGCTC